TGATCAATTCCTAGTTACGGCATTGCTCTTGCTTTGGATTTTTGTGTTGCTTTAACATTACCCTGGAAATGGGGCGGCGGTGGTGGCAGTGGTGGCATCATTGGTGGCAATGCTTTGTTTGCAATTAAGCCAGGAATCAGGAAGGAGCTGATCTTTTAGAAAGTTCTAGTAGGGCACTTACTTAGTCTTTGGGGTTTTTTTTGTTGTTTTTTAACTAACGAGGCAGAGAATTGTATTGAGCTGGTATAGTCTTGTTGCTAGATTATCATAATAAGTAAAATACAGTTTTATAAATTCAGCACTGTGTAAAGGAGTGGTGGCCAGATTTGTTTTTAACTGAAGTGTCCAGTTAATGTATTTCAGTCTGTAGCATTAATTTTACATTTTCATCTTATAGATGAAACTTGTTATAAATATGGTAATCATGCCTTGAGTTGAATTGTTGGTGATTGCACAGCTTTGATTCAGAATTAGAGGGCTCCTTTTCTGTCAGCCTTGTTTCCTCAGCTACTATGTGCCTTTTGAGACACAGAGAAAACAAATTGGTAGAGCGTTTGCTGTGAGATCCCCCTGTTCCTGAACTTTAGTTTTCTTTCCTTTGGTTTTCCCTTGGGCCTGGGTTTTCTTATGTTTCGCTCTTGCATGCATTGAAGCATTGCCCACAACTGTTTCTAGGAATGAGGTAGAAGATCTTCAGTATTTGAGGACTTGGTTCTTGGAGATGCGTTCAGTGGGTTAGTGCTTTCTCTCTGCCCAGAAGGTGAAGGTATCAAAGAGAGGTGTTATGGTGTGGTAAGAATTTTCTTTTTCTCTGCCTGGTGGTTAAGAGTTTAACATGGAATCTGATTGGAAGAGAAGGAAGGAGTACAGGGGGTGGAGGGGCAGTTTCTTTGGAGCAGGTTCTGTTGCTTCTGCTGAGCAGCTTAGCTTTTGGAAAACACAGGGGCTTATACCAGTATGAGTACTTTGTCCAGTAATGCTGTTGCTTTCTCCCCTAGTAACAATCTTTGTATTTCAGGTTGATGACATTAATGCTGATAAGAATGTCTCTTCTGCACAGATTGTTGGTGAGTATGAATCAGAAACCCTCAGTGCTGAACTCTTTACTGTTTTCTCATTACTGCTCAGAATTAGTGTTCATGTTTGTGGCATTTTACCCACATGCCCTGTCCTCTGCAGTGTGTAGTAGGTTCAGATAGAACTTAGGATTTCCCTTGTCCAAAAAGACAGTATCTTTCTGTTAGAGTTTTTCTTCCAACTTCAAGTTCTTCATGTTCCTGCTACTTCAGTTTCCATTGTACCTAGAAATACCAAAAGAGATTGATCATTCAATCCATCTGGCTATCTTTCTATCTAGGTATACATAACATATTTTTTAACTTGATCATTAAAGAGGGGGCAGTAGATAAAACCATAAATGAATAGTTCAGTGAATTTTCAGAGAACAAGCATGCTCCTGTGGTCGTGTGCTCAAAAAAATAAAACATTACCAGGACTATGGAAACTAGGGTTGGGGTAGGGGGATACTTTTTAAATTGGAGATAGTTGTTTTATTGAGGTATATTTTGATGAGTTTTAATTTTATATAAACAACAATCTCAGTAAAACTGGTGTAGAACATTTCCATCACCCCAGAAAGTTCCCTTATGTTCCTTTCCAGTCAACTCCATCAGTTCACACTCTGCTTTGGAGGCAAACAATATTCTTTTCTTTTCTTTCTTTCAAGATTTTATTTGTGAGAGAGTAAATACAAGTGGGAGGGTGGGAGAGGGAGAAGCAGGCTTCCTGCTGAGCAGGAAGTCCAACACGGGGCTCATTCCCAGGACCCTGGGATCATGACCTGAGCCAAAGGCAGACGCTTAACAACTGAGCCACCCAGGTACCCCCCCTTCTTTTTTAAAGATTTTTATCTTTAGAAAGAGAAAGAGAACATGTGTGTGCATAGGGTGGGGGAGGGAAAGAATCTCAGTCAGAGTCCTCTCTCAGCATGGGGCCTGACATGGGGCTAAATCCCATGACCCGGAGATCATGACCAGAGCCAAAACCAAGAGTCAGATACTCCACTGACTGAGCCACTCAGGGACCTCACTGTTCTTGTTTTCTAAAACTAGTTGAGGTTTGCCTTTTCTAGAACTTAGAAATGGAAACGTACAGTAGGTAGAGATGGGGGGATGATTTTGTAAAATACAAAATGGAAGACTGGTAATTCAGATCCAATTACATGAAACAGTTAAGGACATAAACATTTTTAATAAATTATTCCCCCATGGGGCACCTGGGTGGCTCAGTCGTTAAGAGTCTGCCTTCAGCTCAGGTCATGATTCCTGGGTTTAGGATCAAGCCCCACATTGGGCTCCCTGCCTGGCGGGAAGCCTGCTTCTCCCTCTCCTACGCCCCTGCTTGTGTTCCCTTTCTCACTGTCTGTGTCAAATAAATGAATGAAATCTTTTAAAAAAATTTCCCCCTAAGCCACAGAGAGTGGCTCATTCCAACAGAATTTTAGTAGCAGATCTTTGCGAAAGGGGAATCTGAGCGAATGCTCTGTGTACCTAATCCCAGGTACCACACTTAGAATTTCCCTTTAATCTTTTCTCACCATGGAAAAGTAAAACAGATAGGATTCAGCTCCATTAAGGAAATGTAGGTATTGTCCTGGAAATTTTTATTGGTCTTTAGAACTATTAATCATTTTCTAAAAACCAGTGTTGTCTCCTGTATTTTCATTGTTTCTGCCAAAGGGGATTGTGGGCTTTGAGGATCTGAGCCACTTTTCTCTAGTGTTTGTAACACTGTGCTGCTTACCCTAATTTAATTAGGTCCTGGGCCCAAGCCAGAAGCCTCTGCAAAGCCCCCTTCCCGACCCACGGATACCTACGACAACTTTGTACTACCGGAGTTGCCATCTGTGCCAGACACACTACCAACTGCATCTGCTGGTGCCAACACCTCAGCATCCGAGGACATTGACTTTGATGATCTGTCCCGGAGATTTGAGGAGTTGAAAAAGAAAACCTAGGTCTCTTAAACCAGGCAACCTGCAGGCTTTGAGATTTGAGACTGAGCTGTTTCTCCTTGTAATAATCTCCATGAAATTCTTTTTCATCTCTTAACCATCACTGAGTACATTCTTCCTCTGGGCTCTCCTGCTCTAAATTCTGCTGCTTTCCAGTTCTCTACTGCTACTAAGAGACTAATGATTAGCGACTATGAGGCCAGAGCATCGGACTCTGGGCCGCTGGTTTTGTCCAGCTCCCGTGAGTGTGAGCCCAGCTTCTCCCATCACCTTCTCCCATCACAGAGAAGACTCTGGCTTCTGTGTCCCTCCACAGGGGAGTGAGAAGGTGAAAGCATTATGAGGAGAGCTGCCAAAGATGGCTGGACACAGAAGAATATTTCATGAAGTCTCTCAGCTCGGTGCTGAAGTTCTAGACTTAGAAACAAACCCCTCTGTACAGAGGGATTTTTGGTGAGCAAGAATCAAAGCAAAGGTGTGCTATGAATGGGAGAGACTGACTCTGGACGCCACTGTAATAGTTCCCGGAAGCTGGGTCCGCTCATTGGCATATACACTACTCCTTGCTGCCGGGCACTGTCCTACCTGGATCCAGTTGCGAAGTTAATTTGGAAAGTTGAAAGCTTCTCTTAGTTCTACTGGATTCTCAGGGAGCCCTCCGTGGCCTTTTGCTTTGAGTGCTGTGTTCCCCTTTTACCAGAGGGCAGCACTGCATAAATTCCTGTTTTTCCCCATAGCATGTTCTGTTGGATTGCATTTACTGGCAAACGAAGGACAGGTCACATACCGGGCAGAGTCACCATTCAAGGCTGAGGTGGGCTTCCAGTTGCCTTAATAGAAGTACTCAAATCTCTTGGGTAGTGAGCTGGAATGCCTACAGGAGAAGAGGGGTTCCTGTTTTCATTTGAAAACTTTATGATTAAGAGAACCTTTAAAAACTGATTTTAGATAAGTTTTTGGTGCCCATAAAACATGTGGCTGTGGTTGTTGACTACTTTCCTGGGTGGATGAGACTCTTTACTATTGTAACTTAACGTGTTCCTTTACCCCCTAGCTGCAGCCACCCTTCCCTGGAGGGATGGCTCTGGGATCAGAAGACAAGATGCTGGCTTCTGTGTAGTGTACATGTACACACCTGTTTCAACCAACTTTAATGTTTTTGATTGGTTTGTATCTCATAGCTCAGTAGCTGATAATAAAGTTAAAAGTTCTGTGCCCTGCTTTCTCCACTTGTTTGGTCAAGTGAGGAGGTACAAATTTGGATTTTAGTGGAGAGTATTTTAAGTAAGTGACCCATGCTGGGCATAATCCAGAGCTTACCTTTGGTTCCTTGGGTAATGTGTACGTCTGAAGCAGCAGCGAGTCCAGTCCATTTCTAGTTCTGTATTTAAGCCCGGGGAACATTTTTGAGTTTGCTTGTTTAGTCCTTGGGAACAGGGCTGCCCGTTAGCCAAACCTCACACTTATATCTTTGATTTTAATGAGCTGCAGTGAGCTCAACTCTGACTCCTATGTATTTCCTACAGCCATGCTGAAAACAGTGGTGGTGATTGTTTCTTGCTTTTTGGCCGCAGAGCTGGATTACCCTGTATCGCTCTCGTGGTGTAAACCCCTTCCTGACGGCGGTCCGTAAACCCAAGAACCCGCTGCCAAGGAGACTTTGACTCCTCAGTGACTACAAGATTAACAGTGTATTAAACCAGTAATTTCCTAAACTATACCCTACAAAGGTAGGGAGAGGTGAAGAGAGCTCTCCACTTAGCAGGGAGCCAGATGAGCTCAATCCCAGGACCTGGGATCATGACTTGAGCTCAAGGCAGACACTTAACCGACCGAGTCACCCAGGCGCCCGAGATAGTCCATCTTTTAAAGCCGCAGTGTTACTGCCCGCTGCTGTCATGGCTGTTTGCTCACATGTCCTGGTGCCGCTGGATTCTTAGTAAACTGGCGAGTTTCTGTAGCACCATCTCTATCCGTTCAGCTTCTTTCAAAGTTGTCTCCTACACAAAAGGAGAAAAGTGAGGGAATTAAAATTGATGCCATTGTTGAGAGGGGACATGGACCAAAAGATTTAAAAACTAGGATTAATGGTAAACATACTGTTCCTGTAATGATCTACTGTCAGGCATTGGAGCGTTTCTGCTACATCACAGTTGAGGAACAGCTATTTAGAAGACTGTGGATGTCCTATAAACTGGGCGTTCTGTTAAAATGGTTGCCCGAGCTATGGAGATAATGAAGGGACTGAGCTGGTTCTGTGCATTAGGTCAGTCTGTGATCTCAGGAGCAGCAACAGTTGAGTTTTTATAAGGCTAAAATCATGACACGTTTATATTTCACTTACCGAGTCAGTGTTACCTTCCTCTCTTAAGGGATTTTCTTTCTTTACCAAAGGCCATGAGAATCACCAAAACAAAAAGGTTAATGATCACAAGTAGCATCAGGAAGACACTGGTGAGAATCAGAAAGGATCCCAGGATTGGGTCTAAAGCAATAACCTGGAAAGGGACAATACAATGTTTTGATTTTAAACACTGACAGTTTAACATATTTTTAAAGTAGAAGTTATATACTATAATGTTTGCGATATATTCACATAAAATATTTGGTAGACAGTAGGGAGAGAAGCAGATAAAAAGGAAAATGCTTTTGAGTGGACAGAAGAATATGAATGACAGACTTAATGGGTATAAAGATAATTGACTTAAGATAATTGACTTCTGCTTTCACCAGAAAACAGGTAAGTCCCAGTAGAATTATAAGTGATTCAAAGCCCATGCGAGTTTTGGCAGCTCTGGAAAATATATCTAAGCATGGAAGCTTGAAAGAGTAGCAAAAGCACATTGAAAGAATAACATCAGAAATCATAAAAACTGTCTCTGCCATTCTAAGAACCTCTATAAACAAAGGAGCATTCCAATAAAATTTAAGAAGTTAACCATAAAAAACTGGCTTTTTTTTTTTTTTTTTCGGGTGTTATATTTTAAAAGTAAGTACTGGGTTTTGCCATTCTTTACTTTTCAGCGTGAAGTGATCATTCTCAAATACAGGGACTATGGTAGTTTCTGTAAGAGTATTTTAGTTTATGTGTTCATTTTAACAAATGTCTATTTTCCCTTGGTATTGGCTTATTCACTGTTGCCACTAGGGTACTATTAAAAACAAATCAACAACAACAACATAAAAAACAGTCCCAACAACTTAAGAGGATGAATGTTTACAATAAATATCACTGTGATGGACATCTGTATGATCAGATACTGCTTAATTATAGCTACTCTAGGTCAACCAGACAACTTTCACCATCTTTGTGATACAAAACTTTTCCCAGTAAGTATACTCCATTTTCCCTTCACATTATATTATTAGAGAAGGCTTTTTTTTTTTTTTTTTTAAAGACAAAAAGGTGTTAGCAAAAGCTCATTGTTTTATTATTTCCTTAAGTGTCTTAGTATATAAAGTGTTCCATGGGTGAAGGTTTCATTCCCCGGTTGAACCCAGAACCATAACAGGTCTTTCTCAGATCTTAGATGAGAACTTCCCACATTAGGAACTATGTTAAGAAACTATGTAAACTTGCCCATTTGAGTTCTAGATTTTCAGAAGGTTAAACTTCATGGAGATCTTTACAATTTCACTAATGTAAATTATAGTTTTTCTTTCTGTCTTGATCAAATCTATATATGCTAGGGCTCCAAATCCTGATCTGGGTTTCCTGTTTCTTTTATATAGGATAGGGATTTGTGTTGGGAGTTCTTGAGGGAGAATAATGAACAGAAATATTGTGGCTTTTGTTCTGGAATTGTACCTCCTTAATTTTTTTAGAAGGCACTTTCATTATATACTTCAAAGGGCTACTGAGAAAGAAGCAGCAAATATTAATCTGGCTAGGTGACGAGAACCTAAATTCAGGCCCAGCGTCCTGGCAATAAGATTAAGAAGTGAAGAAATTGGAATTAGGTGCTTGAAAAAGGGACATATCTCTGAAAGTAATAGCCCAACGTTGAATGCATAGGTAGCACCACAGAATGGGAAGGCAGAGGATCTACACTCTTCTTTTCCAGTGTGCAGTGGCACAGAAGGGGCTGCTATTGTAAGCAATTCTTGCCTTGTAGACAAAATAGAATCCTGCAGGGAAGCCAGGATGGGGGTTTTTACCTCCTCTGGATGAGAGATTCCCAGTAGGAGGCCAACAACAGTCACTGCTGAGCTGAAGAAAGTTCGGTAGTCAGAGATGCTCCAACCAAACAGCAGGTTAAACTGAAAAGGAGAAAGACTAATCAGAGGACAGACAGCAGTAGGGCTGATGTCAGTTCTTTCCCTCCTGGCTTCATAAGGAGCCAACACAGGACCAAAGGGGATGGAAATCATAGACGTGCCTTAGTGGCCATTCAAATCACAATGCCTTAAAATTATTTTATAGTTACATAGCATGTTCATATTGATTATTTGGCCTTCACATCACGCTGTGAGCTAAATTTGAGGAGAGAAGACAGATGTCTGATTTTAAGCCATACTCCTGGTGAAGTGTGGAACTACAACTAAAAACCAGTTTTCATACTCTTTTTTTTCCAAAATTCATTGCCAACTTGAACTGATGGTTTGCCGTATAGTGCTTTCTTGGAAAGCAATGTGATTCCAAGGCCACAGCTTTGGGGAATGAGGGCTTACAGCAGTGGCACAGCCTGTGAGCAGGATCAGGATGACCAGCAAGAAGCCCACCACCTTGTCCCAGGCTTTGCCAAGTGTCCTCCCGATGACCTGCAGCCTGAGGTTATGGTGCAGCAGGTTCCAAAGCTGAATAGTTGCCAACAGAACCAGGAAGCCCATGAGGTGAATGATGGCTGGGTTTACTTTCACTGCCTTGTAGAAGCTGATGAACCTGTGCCAAGGAAGGGTGACAGTTAACCGCTGAAGTGCATGCCATCCATTTCTCCACTGCTTCCCCTGCTCGAGTGCAGCAGCTCTGACAGTCCTATTAGGTCAAATACTTGATGCAAGAACTCTCCAGCATGGCCTCCAGTACTTGTGGATGTGAGAGCACTGGCAAAAGGCCGTGTATTTGCTTGGGAGAGCTGAAGAAATACTGAAATAAAACCTCTAGCAGATTACTCCAGACTCATCCCGCCAATCCAGGCCAGCCTCCTCTACTGCTGTGGTTTGAGTTAAACCCCTCCTCTCAAAAGGAGAGGAGTTAGCCTAATGAGATGTGTCATTATGCTAGTCTGTTTTCTGTAGCACTCTAATCCTGTATTCTCTGGGGGGTGATTGATCTAATAGGTTTAACAGTGCTGAAAGTAGAAAGATGATTGATAAGGACACCCGGGTGGCTGAGTCGGTTAAGCTTCTGTCTGCCTGCAGCTCAGGTCATGATCCCAGAGTCCTGGGCTGGAGTTCTGCATCATGCTCCTTGCTCAACAGGGAGCCTGCTTCTGCCTGCCACTCCCGTGCTTATGCTTGACAAAATCTTAAAGAGATGATTGATAAACTAGAAGGGAGGAGTGTTGTGTGAGAAACATAATCTCGTGTTGCAGCAACTAGGTTACTTGGAAAGACTCCCATAGATAGAGCAAGTTGGCTCTTGATCACAACTGTTTTTAGTGTCTAAGACCTAGACAGTGCCATGCAGCAAGATGGACCTCAACTGTCAACACCATATAAACTCTGTCCCTGCAAAAATGGCCCTCTAAGGATGACCTGGGATATTTTCTCATTACACAGATCAGCAGTCCACACTGTTGGCCACTGAAAAAGTAAAGTACCACGTTGCAATATGTGGTCTGGGAAATAGATGCTCTTCCCCATGGGAAAGACCACAGAAGGTGTCCAAAGGGGCACCAGAACATCTCTTCAGTATGGATAAGCTAATGGATGGACATCTCTACCCAGAAAACAACCCCCTTTGGTTTAAAAAAAAAAATGCACTGGGTTTTATTTAAAGGGTGATCATTTGTCATGCCTCAGGCTTTATTCTTTGGCCAGTGTGCAAAATATGACTAATTCTAGGTCCTTGCTATATGGAATTTAAATGCATTACCTTTGACAGACACATACCTAAGTATTATGAAAGCAGAGAGCTTTCCAATGTGATGAGCAGTATATGGTTACTTGTTAATTGTTTTCTCAACTGTGGACATTGGTCTGAGTTCTGTATTTGACTCTGGTATCATACAAACATAGGTCTGATAGAGCAGCGGAAGAGGAAGGGGAGTCTGAAAGAAACTTGTGCGCAATTGGGAAACTTTAGACATTGAACAGGAACAGCCTGTGCTCCTCAGGCTCTGTCTTACCTGTCCTGGTCATAGTGGTATCGTGCCATGTTTTTCTTATGCAGAGAAGTACGCTCCATGTCAAGACCCAGGAGGACAAAGCTAATGAGGATTATGCTCACGTCCAGAATGTTTCTTTTCCTAGAGAAGAACCTCCACCTCTGTTGTTTCAGCCAATGACCCTAAAAGGAGACACACAGTCACTATTGCCTGCCTTGAGGATTAGCCAGGTCTTTCCCTAATGAAGCATTTTAACCCTGGCAAGACACTAAGCTGGGCCCTTGTCAGATCCAACTTGAACACGATGGGTTATGGTCTTGGTGCTGCTCTGTAGTCACTCAGAGCTGCTGCTTATAGAAAAGCCGGCTTTCTCTAACCTGCATTGGATACACATTATTTCATTCCTGTTGCTTAAATTTAAAATGGTTTTCAAATTAGTTATCAAGCCTGAAAGTAAGATGTGTTGTCTTAAGATGGATTCTGTTTTGGTGCCACTACTTGTACTGAGTACTTGCTCCGTTCATCAGATTTTCAATTCTTGCTGTTAGCTTATAGAGGGATAATACAACGTACAAAAAATAATATTCTTTTTTTTAAGATTTTATTTATTTATTTGACAGAGATCACAAGTAGGCAGAGAGAGAGAGGGGAGGAAGAAGGCTCCCGGCTGAGCAGAAAACCCGATGTGGGGCTCGATCCCAGGACCCTGAGATCATGACCTGAGCTGAAGGCAGAGGCTTAACCCACTGAGCTAACCAGGCGCCCCCAAAATAATATTCTTTTTACAGAGTTAATTCCTTCACTCTTGAAAACTTACAGAGCTACTTCATGGAAAGCCAGTCAGCCTTTAGCTGAATTCAGGCTCTGGAAGGGACCAAAGTCATAGCCATAATTCTTGTAATAACATTGTGGAGCTCCCTTGATAACACTGGCAACCTTGAGAATTTCTCACCTGTACAAAGGCATAGTAACAGACTAGTAGGTAATAGATGACTTGCGAGATGAGAGACCAGGCAAAGTCCTCCTTTGATGCCTGAAGGGAAGTTAAAGTGTCCAGCTTCAGTGAGGGGAAGAACGCACCTGAAAACAGCAAAGAACACCTAGAGTCAGGAGTCTTCAAAACTTACGCCCTCTTCCTTTCAAACTCTTTAAAATCAGTGCAACTATTGCTGGATTATCTTTTTTTTTTTTCTTTAGATTTTATTTGAAGGGGGGGGGAGGGGCAGAGAGAGAGGGAGATAATCCCAAGCAGAATCTGCTGAGCCTGGAGCCTGATGTGAGGCACAATCTCCCAACCCTGAGATCATGACCTGAGCCCAAACCAAGAGCCACACAGTTAACCAACTGAGTCACCCAGGTGCCCCACCGGATTATCTATTCCAAATGTTCTCGAACCTCTACACTTCGCTTGGTATTTCCTCTAGATCTGTCAGGGATATTAACTCAGATCACACATGCATAACTACTGGAGAAATGCACTGTTTGCACCAGTCAGTAGAAGGGGAAGATATACTCGTGATCCCACCTTGAGGGCACAGTCTGTGACTTCACAGCTGTTAACAGGTGTTGCTCTGGTCGAGCGAGAACAGGTGCAGAGATACACGGACTCTGTACCCCCTCTCCATATAAGGTTTGGTAGAGAGCGGACTGCAATGTGAAGCGTGGGGAAGATGGAATTTAAAGCTATTTAAAATACATTTTGAGAAATTAGTATGATAGTGCTTTGAGCCATTTCAAATGTAGTTACTTTCTAAAAGTAAATTTATGTAAAGCCCTAATACCCGATGAATACTCACAGTATCCTGGGAATACTCACACATTTAGAGAAGGATAGACTAAAAAGCCTCAGATTCTACCTAGAAGGACAGTGAGGTGGTTGCTTCTAAAATCATGAAAGGTCTTGTGAATTTAAATTTTCATAAAGCCCCAAAATACTAGAATTAAGATGTACCCCTTGTAGTATAAAGTACATTTAAGAATAAAAGGAATTCCTACTTCATATTGTTTGATCTTAAGACTGGGACTTTCCCATGTTTATTTCAGCCCTATTTGAAGTTTGTGTGTGTGTTGGGGGAGGGGCTTGGTACTTCCTAACAATAAAAAACCCTATGAAGACCCATAGGAAGCCTTCATACTTCATTTAGAACAAGTGTAGAAGTCTAAGTATAAAACTCCTGATCAGAAGTGACACCTGGGGGCACCTGGGTGGCTCAGTGGGTTAAAGCTTCTGCTCAGGTCATGATCTCTAGGTCCTGGGATCGAGCCCCGCACTGGGCTCGCTGCTCAGTGGGGAACCTGCTTCCTCCTCTCTGCCTGCCTGCCTCTCTGCCTACTTGTGATCTCTCTCTCTCTGTCCAATAAATAAATAAAATCTTTAAAAAAAAAAAAGTGACACCTGGTGGTAAATGGAAGGATACTAGTGGGCAGATTCTGGGAACAGAATAAAGAGGAAGTTTGATCAGGACAGACTTCCTGTTAGAGGTAGGGGAACTGAATATATGAGTGTCTCTCTAATCTCATAAAATGCCACTATAATGATAGTGACAGGATAAAAAAAAAAAACCTGAAGGAAAAGGAGTGTAGATGATAGCAACAAACTCTTGGAAGCCAGTAAACAGAAGAATGACACCGATAACAGATTCAAGAAAGGGAAAGGCAAAGTCAGCTGTGTAGAAAACCCAGAAGCAAGCCCAGAAAGGCTGGAAAATTGCTGGCATTAGATACTTCTGAAGGTAAGGTCAGATGAAACTGGAAATAGAATTCATCCCAAGTCTGAACATAAGCAGTTAGATCCCAGACTTCCTCCCTCACCATTCACAACTAGGTATTTGCTACTCATCGTGCCTTCCACCACTAAAACTAAAGGTTTATTTCCTATTGTTGAACTAGAGAGAATCCCAAATCAGGGACAATAGGTCTATTTGCAAGTAGTGGTCTATTGGGAAAGAATTAAGAGAAAGTTCTTAATTTTATTTTGAGAGCGAAGAGAGAGACAAAGTGTGCTCATGAACAGAGAAAGGGCAGAGGGAGAGAGAGAATCCTAAGCAGGCTCCAAGCTCAGTGCAAAGGCCAACTTGGGGATCTTTGACCCTGAGATTATGACCTGAGCTGAAATCAAGAGACACTTAACCAACTGAGCCACCCAGGCACCTCTAAGAGAAAGTTTTTATACTGCATGGTGATGCCTCCCAGTCCTTTTTCTCAACAGTCTCAGAGAAGTCCACAAGGCTGACATCCTCAAAGCAGGGGTTTGGAGGGTCCTTGTATGTGAAACTGCCAGAAAGACATTAGGAACAGCTGACAAGCTCTTTCTATGAACAGGGAGCTTCTAACTAGCATTTATTTGCTTTTTACTATCTCTGTCTTCAATATGATAAAACAGCCACATATTGAACCTCAACACTGACAACTGGAAACCAAAACAAATAAAAAAAGAAATTCAGAGGCATTAGAGAAAGTGAAAGAGCAGAAAAAAAAACAACAAAGCCTGTCACATCCTCAGAGAGTTGAGAGGATACCATGTCCATAAAAGAACAGGATACTATGAAAAAAATATTGAGGACAAATACAATTCTTGAAAATTAAATTATCAAGATGAATACTTCAACTTCCAAACCACTTGTTAAATTTATCTCCCAGAAACTAGAAGAAAAAGATGGAAAAGCAAAAAAAAAAATAAAGAAAGAAAAGGATCAGTCTAGGCATCCCAATGTCAAAATGCCAGGAATACTAGAAAAAGAGAACAAAGAAAACAAAGAAAAAATTGATAGAAATCTGTGAGAAAATTTCTCAGAACCTAAGGACACATTTCCAGGTTAAAGGACTCACCAGGAAGAGAAAGAAAATTCTAAAAACTTTTGGGAATTGGGGGCATCATACATTTTTTAAAAAATTTATTTATTTGAAAAAGAGAGAGAGCACAAGTAGGCAGAGTGGCAGGTGGATGAAAGAGGAGAAGCAGGCTCCCCAGCAGGGCTTGATCCCAGGACCCCAATATCATGACCTGAGCCAAAGGCAGACCTTTAACCCACTGAGCCACCCAGATGTCCCCATCATCATACTTCTTAACAACATGAGAAACTAGAAGGCAATGGAACTATACTTTTCAAAATTCTGTAAAAACAACTGTATCCAGAATAATGAGCAATCACGTGTGATGGCAGAGTAAGAATAGTTTTGGACCTGGAAGTCTTCAAAAAATTTACTTCTTTTGTACGCTTTCAGTAATTTCCCAGAGGATATGCTCCAGCAAAATGAGGAAGTAAACCCAGAGAGGAAAACATGGGATCCAGGAGAAAGAAGATCCAACAGAGGGGAGATGTCAAGATCATCCCCAGAATGATACTGTAGGGAGAATCCAGGATGAGCATTGCATGGCAGACCCAGAGAATAACCAATCTGAACTGTACCGAAAGGGTGGAGGGCCCCAGAGAGGCCCTTTTATCTTTGAAAAGATAAAATATAGGTTGCTTGATACTTTTTGAACAGAAAGATTTTTACTTCAGGAGGAGTTTGGAGGTGAATCAATCATAGATTCATGCAAAACCAACCAAATGGAATAAAAAAAAGAAATTAATTATAAACTCTAAGGAAAATGTTGTAGAAGAAAAGAAACTATAATACAATTACATGGCTCATCTTTGAGAAATCATTTAGATAATCACAATAATGGAAATATTAAACTAACCATAAATTATTACTATATTTGGAGAACATGGAAAGAGAAAAGTGTGTGTGTGTGTTGTGTATGAGTATAAGAAAGTTAAATGCTCAGCATCATAGGAAGAAATAGTACCTAAAACTGAAAATGCATGAAATAAGTAATAAGCATGGGGTGCCTGGGTGACTCAGTCAGTTAGGCATCCGCCTTTGGCTCAGATCATGATCCCACGATCCTGGAATCAAGCCCCGCATCCGGCTCCCTGCTCAGCAGGAAGCCTGCTTCTCCCTTTTCCACTCCCCCTGCTTGTGTTCCCTCTCTCGCTGTGTCTCTCTCTGTCAAATAAATAACTGAAATCTTTAAAAAACATTTTTTTCCAAAGAACCAGTTAAAAAAAAGCAGGCGGTAGCCTTCTCTGGGAAAGGGGAATGAGGTGAGGAGGAAGAAAGGACTGCTCATTTTTGCCTTGAATTACTTGACTTTTAAAATTATGTATAATAACTTTAACTAAAATACTGTCTTTTAATGGTACAAAATAAAGAAACTGAGCTTTCTCCTGACATACCCAGGTCAGGACAGAAGAGACCTCTGTACCTGCATTGTTGGACTCCAAAATCAGGGTCACTACACAGAACAGGTTCACATTAGCATTGAAGACCACAAATTCCACAAAGAGGCTTTTGGTGCAATGGTCAAGCCAGTGGCTCTGTTCAAGATGCTGCAGAACTCTGGGAAAACAGAACGACAGGGTCAGCTTCTTTCTCCATTCAATCCCGCAAAGGAGAAAAATGGCCTGGCATTTCCAATATCACGTGCCAGTCGCAAAGCTACATTCCCAAATATCGTTTGCCTACAGAGTACTATTACTAATCCCCAAACTTTCACTAGTATTAGTTCACACAGATAGAAATTGAGAGGTCCATAAAGATGAAAGTTTTCATAAGAGCATTCACATCAGGTTTAAATGTTCAAGAGAATGGATTTGGTGTTTAATACCTAGGGTAGAATTAACACCTACCGCTATTACTCCACCACTTCTAAATGTTAAATGCTTCTCTTTATTTTTTAAGATTTTACTTATTTGAGAGTGTGAGAAAGCCAGGGGAGCTGCCGAGGGAGAGGGAAAAGCAGACTTCCCGTGTTTTTGAACAAATTCTTGCTGTAAACTTAAACGAAGAGGTAATTTAAGCTTTTGCATATATAATGATAAAAATTCTTATCACATACACATACAAAAACACTCTAAAGTCTCTGGAAATTTGACTGTGAATATTTGCATTGATTATGGCTCATGAAAGGCAATGCTTCCTCTTAAATTTAAAGATTATAGTTTGCCTAAACTAGGGATACCAGAATTGAGATTGGAAGGTGTTTTCCCAGATGACCAAAAAAAAAAAAAAAATGAGTTTGGGCAAAATGCCAAACCAAAACATATCTGTAGTTTGAGGTTGAACAAGGAATTTTTAAACTAAAAGGTACATTTCCTTAAAAGTCTAAGAAGTGTCCACAAGGGGGACGCTGGGGTGGCTCAGTCGGTTAAACGTCTGCCTTTGGCTCAGGTCATTATCCCAGGGTCCTGGGATTGAGTCCCACGCTGGGCTCCTTTCTCTCTCTGCCTGCCTCTCCCATTGCTTGTGCTTGTACTGTCTCTCTGACAAATAAATAAATAAATAAGATCTTGGAGGGGGGTCAGATTTCTCTTAAAAAAAAAAAAAAAAAGAAAAGAAGTGTCTACAAGTGTCACAGACAACTGAGCACCATTATGGCAGCAGTAACTGTCCTAAGAAGGGATGTGTCCTGGTTCTCCTGTCCAGGGCTTAGGCTTCCTCACCTGATAGCAGTACGGGAGCTTCTCCCAAGTCTCACAACATACCCTCCTCCTGAGTAGGTGGCAAATTCCCCTTGGACAGGACAGCCCCCCGCTATCTCTTGATTCTGATAATGCCAAATGCTCTCTGATTTTGTGACGTTTGTATCAGGCAGGCCCCAGTTTACTCCATAGTTCTCTGTATCCTCCTGACCTTGGGGAGATGACTTCACTTGCTCTTGGGGAGACACTCCAGTTGGAAGGAGATGCGAATCTGACGAAGCAGGACATTGCCCAGAAGAAAGGAGTTCCCATCAGCAATAAATCCTAACAAAAAGAGTACAAGAAACCACTTTCACAACTGCCTTATTAAGTTAGTAACAAAAAATGCACACTTTCACCACTATTTTAAAAAAACATATTTGGACTTTCTAGTTAATGCAACCAGGCAAGAAAATGAAATAAGCATAAAAATAAGGAAGTGAAATGGTCATCATTTGTAAAGGACACATAGGTGATCTAGATGAATCAGGAGAAATCAACTGAAAGGCATCAGCATGACAGTGAAATAGGAGGTGGCCTGCTTGTGTCTCCTCTCAGCAACAGTAATCCACAGATGAAAGTGCCTTTGTGGGAGCCTTGGGATCCAAAGGTAGGGAACTGTGAAACCCCAGTGGAGTCCAAGACTGACAAAGTCCATTCTGAGAAGGCACGTCCATGCCCAGATGACAGACTCACCACCTATGGTCCTGATAACAGACCCAGAAACAGTTCTGCCCCTGTGGACTTGGCTACAGCACCATACACCAAGGGACCCAGGAATCACTTCTGCCTGTGTCTCAGATAACAGGCCTTTAGACCTTAGTTCTGAGTGCCAGTCCCTCTCAGCCACAGTCCAAAAGTCCCTGGAGGTAAGCTCACCAAACTCGGTCTGTCTGTAGATCCTGCAATGGCCTTTAACTGGACTCCAGCCCCTCTTGGCTACAGTCCATGAGCAGTCCTGCTAGTCCAGAGACCAGCTGGGAGACACACCTATCAATGTGACTGGAGATAAGCCTACCAACCTGGTCTGACTTCAGATCCTGAAACTTCTAACTTGCCTCCAGACCATTCCAGCCATGGTCAGGGAGCAATCCTGGTGGGGGACACACTCATCCATCCCTCCAGAACCAGGTCTGTAGATACTGGTCCTGGCTATAGATACTGAACAGCCTGGGGACTCCATTCCTGTCCCTCTCAGCCACAGTCCAGGGCCCATCCTGCCTGCCCAGGGACCCACCCAGCGACCCAGCAGGAGCCCTCCCAGAAATCTGGGGGGAGCCACACTCATTTTTGCATTTGGTAACAGGCCTGTTCTACTCCAACCCTTGTCCCGGTGCCAGCCTCACTGAACAAGGTTCTGCAGTCAGTCCTGTCCACCCAGAGAGGAGACCAGATCCACACTATCCAAGCCCCTGGTAACAGGCCTACAAACTGTGGACCCCACTGTGGATATAACCACAGCCAAATGACCTAACTCCATCCCTGATCAACTTAGATTCTGGAGGTAACTCATCAGCCTGGGGAACTGACAGAAGAAGGTTTTTACTTGCCAAAATTGGTCTGTAAAGACTAGAAAAGGTGTTTGCTCCTTCAAATGCATGAACACCAATCCAAGACTATATAGATCACAGAGAATCAGGATCAGACAAACATGACACCATCAAAGGAAACTCCTCAAGTTCCACTAAATGACTCCAAAGATACAGAGGTCTGCGAACTGCCTCAGAAATCAAAATAATCTTCTTAAAGAAACTCAGTGAAAAGCATGAGAACACAAATAAATGAAGTCAGGGAAACAATGCAGGGACAAAATGGTAATTTTAACAAATAGAAACCATAAAAAAGAACTAAAGAGAAATTCTGGAGATGAATAATTCCATGGTAGAACTGAAAAATTCAATACAAAGCTTCAACAGTAGACTTGATCATGCAGAAGAAATAATCCGTGAACTTGAGGAGAGGTCATTTGAAGTTAGCCAGTTCAAGGAACAAAAAGAAAAATGAATGACAAAGAGTGAACAAAGCCTCTGTCACTTCCGGACACTGTCAAAAGGAAAAATATACATATCATGGGAATCTCAGAGGAGGAGGAGAGACAAAGAGGCAGAAAACTTATTTAAAGAAATGAATAGTTGAAAATGTCCCAAATTTTGGTTAAAAATAGAAACATCTGGTACATGAAGCACAAAGGACCCCAAGTCAGATCAACCCAAAGAAGATTACTCTGAGATACTTTATTGTTTACCAAACTGCTAAAAGTCAAAAACAGAAAATTCTGAAAACAGAAAGAAAAAAAATAACTTTACACACACACACACACACACACACACACACACACACAAACCCCCAAAGGCTATCAGATTTCTCATCAGAGATCTTGCAGGCCAGAGGGAGTAGAATGATATATTCAAAGTACTTGAAAGAAAAAAAACAAAACAAAACTTGCCAACCCAAACCACTATACCCAACAAAACTGTCCTTCAGAAGTGAAGAGAGCTAAAATCAGCCCCAGACAAACAAAAGATTAGGGAGTTTATCACCACCAGGTCTTACGAGGGATGCTAGAGGGAATTCTTTTAGCTGAAAGGAAAGGAGGCTGTGTGACAACATGAAAGTATAAAACTCACAGGTAAAGGTAAATATATAGTCCAATTCAGAGCTTGGTACTACTGTAGTGGTGTGTAAATCACTTTTATCTTTAGTATAAAAGTTAAAGACTGTAGTGTTAAAAATAACTACCACTATAATAATACATCAGTGAATGACAGCATAGGAAGAAAGGCAATGGGACATCAATTACATAAAGCACAAGGAAAGGAGAAGTAAAAGCACAGAGGTTGTTGTTGTTGTTGTTTTAATGTACAGGCAGAACAATCTTATTTTTTTTTTAAATAATCTCTACACCCAGTGTGGGGCTTGAACTCACAACCCTGAGATCAAGAGTTGCATGCTCTACTGACTGAGCCAATCAGGCACCTCCAAATGTAGAGCTTTTTATGTGATTAAAGTTAAGTTGTTTTCAGCTTAAAACAGATGTTATAAAATATTTTACATAAGCCTTATGATAACAGTAAAGCAAAATCTGTAATAAATGCAAAACAATGAAAGGAAGGGAATTAAAGCATACCACTACAAAAATATAAATCACAAAGATACCAAAAGAATAAAAGAGGAACAAAGGAACTGAAAAAACTATCAGAAAATAATAAAGTGCCAATAGAAGGTTCTTATCAATAATTAAATGTCAAAAGATTAAATTCTTCAATCAAAAGACAGAGTGACTGAATGGTAAAAATACAAGATCCAATAATATACTGCCTATGAGAGACTCACTTTAAAGTACACACATAAGCTGAAACTGAAGGTTTGGAAAAAAAAAATATCCCATGCAAATGGCAACCAAAAGAGAATAGAAGTAGCTCTAACTTATAACAGAAAAAACAGAATTTCAGGGGTGCCTGGGTGGCTCAGTTGGTTAAGTGGCTGCCTTCAGCTCAGGTCACAATCCCTGGGATCAAGTCCCATGTTGGGCTCCTTGCTCAGCGGGGAGCCTGCTTCTCCCTCTCCCTCTGCATGCCTTTCCCCCGGTTTGTACTCCCTCTCTCTGACACATAAATAAATAAAATCTATACAAAATAAAAAAAAACCCAGAATTTCAGTGAAACTCAGTCACAACAGACAGGGAAGGTCACTTATGATAAAGTGATACAGGGCTCACTTCATAAAGAGGACAAAACAGGGGCGCCTGGGTGGCTCAGTGGGTTAAGCCGCTGCCTTCGGCTCGGGTCATGATCTCAGGGTCCTGGGATCGAGCCCCGCATCGGGATCTCTGCTCAGCAGGGAGCCTGCTTCCTCCTCTCTCTATGCCTGCCTCTCTGCCTGCTTGTGATCTCTCTGTCAAATAAATAAATAAAATCTTTAAAAAAAAAAAAAAAAGGACAAAACAATTGTAAATATATATGCACCCAACCTGGAACACCAAAGTAAAGTAAATGTTACCTGATAGAAGAAATAGATAGCAATACGGTAACAGTAGGTGATTTCAATACCCCACTATCAAAAATGGATAGACTGTCTAGACAGAAAATCAGTAAGTTAATACTATGAGCCAGATGGACCTAAAAGATATATGTAGAATATTCCATTCAACCAGAATATACATTCTTCACAAGTATACCTGGAACATTCTCCAGGATAGATCCTACATTGGGCCACAAAGCAAGTCTTCACAAATTCAAGAAGACTGAAAGCATATATATCAAGTATTTTTTTTCTGACCACAATGTATAAAATCAGAAATCAATATCAAAATCAGGATGCAAATTGGAAAATTCACAAACACATGGAAATTCAACACCACACTTCTGAACAGCCAATGGGTCAAGTTAGGAAATTAAAAAGTACCTTGAGACAAACAAAAATGCACATAAAAATGTCATACCAAACTTATGGGATGCAGCAAAACCAGTTCTAAAGAGGGCATTTTATAGTAATAAACACCTATTTTATGAAAAAAAGAAAGCTCTCAACTAAACAAGCTAACTTTGGTCTTCAAGAAACTAGTAAAAAAAGAACTAAGCCCAAAGTTAGCAGAGGGAAGTAAATAATAAAGATTAGAGTAGAAATAAATGAAATAAAGACAAGTTAAATAGAATATACAAAAATAAAAATATTTTGAAAGACAAACAAAACTGATAAACCTTTAGGCTAAACCAAGAAAAAGAGGATTCAAATAAAATTATTAAAGAGTAGACATTAACACTGGTATCACAAGAACAAAGGATTATAAGAGACTACTGCGAAAAACTGTACGCCAACAAACTGGACAGCTTAGAATGGATAAATTCCTAGAAACACACAGCTTATTAAACCTAAATAAAGACAAAATAGAAAATCTGAACAGACTATTAACAAATAAGGAGACTAATCAAAAATTTCCCAACAAAGACAAGACCAGGACCAGATGGCTTCATGGGTGAATTCTACCAAACATTTAAAGAAGAATTAACATCAATCCTCAAATTCTTTCAAAAAATTAAAATGGAGGGGTGCCTGGGTGGCTCAGTGGGTTAAGCCTCTGCCTGTAGCTTGGGTCATGATCTCAGGGTCCTGGGATTGAGCCCCTCATTGGGCTCTCTGCTCAGTGGGGAGCCTGCTTCCGCCCCCCTCCCTGCCTGCCTCTCTACTTGTGATCTCTGTCAAATAAATAAATAAAATCTTAAAAAAAATTAAAATGGAAGAAATTGTTCAAAATTCATTTTATGAGGACAACATTACCCTCATACCACAGCCTACAAGAAAGGAAAATCACAGGCCAGTATCCCTGATGAACACAAATGCAAAAATCCTCAACAAAATGCAAACATATGAAGTTCAAAAGTACATTTAAAAAGATTGCACACTGCAACCGAGTGGGGTTTATCTCCTGAGTTGCAAGGATGACTCAACATACACAATTCAGTAGACGTGATACACCACATTAGCAGAACAAAGGATTAAATCACATGACGATTTCCAAAGATGCACAAAGGAGCGCCTGGGTGGCTCAGTCATCAGGCGTCTGCCTTTGGCTTGGGTCATGATCCCGGGTACAGATAACATGATCTTATATATAGAAAACCCTGTAGAACGCCACAAAAACAAAGACAAAGACAAACCCATGAGAACCAATAAATGAGTTTAGTAAAGATGCAGGAAACAAAATCAGTACACAAAAATCAGGTGCATTTTGTTACATGGACAACGAATTACCAGAAAAAGAAAGAGAATAATCTCATTTACAAAAGTATCAAAAAGAAGAAAATATCTGGGAATAGATTTAACTGAGAGGGTGAGAGGTCTGTACAATGAAAACCGTAAGACACTGATCAAAGAAATAAAGACGCAAATAACTAGAAAGATATTCCCTGTTTATGCATTAAAAGAATATTGTTAAAATGTCCGTATCACCCAAAGTGATCTACAAATTCTGTGCAATACCCATCAAAATTCAGGCATTTTTTTCACAGAAATAGAAGAACAATCCTAAAATCTGTATGAATCCCACCAAACATGCCAAAGAGACAGAGTGATCTTGAAAAGGAAAAAGCTGGAGGCATCCCACGTCCTAATGTCAAACCGCACTACAGAAGCTATTGTAATCAAAACTGTGTGCTATTGGCATAAAAACAGACACACAGGATGATGGAACTAAATGGGGAGGCCAGAATCAACTCACGCATTTACGGCCAACTCCTCTATGGAAAGGGTGCCAAGTATACACAGCGGGGCAAGACGGTCTCTTCAACCAACGAGACTGGAAAAACTGGATACCTGAATGCAAGAGAATCAGACTGGACCCTTTCCCTATGCCACATACAACAATCAGTTCCAGATGGATTCCCAACTCAACTGTAAGACCTGGAACTGTAAAACTCCTGGAAGAAAACAGGTGCAAAGCTCCCTGACATTGGTCTTGGCATTTCTTTGGAGAGAACATCAGAAACCAAAATTAAACAAGGGAAAATACAACAAAAAACTTTCTGCACAGTGCCGGAGACCAACAAAGTAAAAAGTTAAACTATGCAACGGGAGAAAGTATTTGTAAACCATACATCTAATAAGGGGTCAATATCCAAAATACCTAGGATCCCATTCAACTGAATATCACAAAAATAACGGATTTAAAAATGGGCAAAAGACCTGAATACATTTTTTTTTAAAGATTTTATTTGACAGAGATCACAAGTAGGCAGAGAGGCAGAGAGAGAGAGTGGGGGGAGCAGGCTCCCTGCTGAGCAGAGAGTCCGATGCCAGGCTCGACCCCAGAACCCTGGGATCATGACCTGAGCTGAAGGCAGAGGCTTAACCAACTGAGGCACCCAGGTGCCCCTCAGTCAGTCCGTACTGAGCTCACACCAGGCCCTGCTCTAGGTGCCAGGAGCAGAGTGGATGAAAGAGCATCCTCGTCCACAGGGAGTGCACATTTGAGAAGTGAGAGAGACAGGCAATACCCAAACATTATCCAGGGCATGAGAGCGCTAAGAACAAAAATTAGGTAGGATGAGGGACAGAGAGTGGTGGGGAGGGAACAGTGCTATTCATTGGTAAGGAAGGATTAGAGACAGTTTCTCTGAGGAGTGGCTTGTGAGAGAGGCCACAGTGCGGAGATCTCTCAGGGCATCAGCAGGATCCCAGGCCCCTGAGGTGAGAACGTGCTCATGTGGGAAGGCACCGAAGCCTGCGCGGCTGACGGGGAGTGGAGGAGGGTTCAGGGGGAGGAGTGGAGGGCCCGGATGTAGCCAGGGACAGCTCTGGGAAGTCCCCTGTAAGCTCTGGAAAGGGTCTGCGATTTGAAGTACGATAGAAACTATGGGACGTTCTGAACAGGGGAAGAATACAGATTTATGTTCAAAACCATAGCATGGGGAGGACGGAATGAAGAACGGCAAGGGCAGAGGGAAGGATGGCCCAAATGAGAGGTGGAAAACGGCACCTTCCTCAGTTATGACTTGCATTTTCTCACGAGGGCACTTAACAAAGCCTCTCATCTATTCCAGAGCCCCGGGTATTGTTTGAAAACACCAGTTTGCACCGGGCTGTTGGAGATGTGGGCAGACTCAGACATTGCTCATGGGAGCATTAGTTGGTACAATAAGGAGAAGACTGGCAGTATCTTTTAAGATTGAGAATGTATACATGGGGCAATACATATGTATTGTTAATGCTGTGAGACGCCCATAAAGATTGTTCCCACTCTGAGAGTAGGTAGGTGTTTCTCCTGAGCAGGAATCCCACCGTTTCCTTCAATTCCTGAATGTGGAGCCAAGATGAGAAAAGTCAGTCTGACATTCGCCCGGGACTGATAGCAGTTATACATGGCAGGGTCGTCTCTTTACTCTGAGAGTGAATGCTCAGTGGGAAGAACCTTTATTTTTCATTTTCTTTCTCCTTTCTCAGAAAGAAGTCACCTCCCAGTAGCTTCAAAACTAGTTTTATGAGGGATTACAGAAAGAAAGAGGGGACAGCTGGATCAAACATCACCACTGAAAACTGGAGAGTAGTACCTTCTGGACTCACATCTAGTCCTCAGTATATTAAGAGAGACGAGGGGGCATGAGCATCATGGCCCAGGGCACAGGACTTAGGGAAAAGCTGCCAAGGTTAATAGGACCCGCAAGCCTTCTAGGAGATCCTCTCCACCGACCTTTCTCGCTACATGTGGAAGCAGGGCCTGCCATCTACTTATAAAATTAGGCACCAGGCTTACCTCAGCCACCTCTGTGAGAGACAGAGGCTCAAAAGGAGCCTCTGGGAGGCAGGAGGCTTGGCTGGGAGGAAAGGGAGGCAGGGGTTCGTGTGGCTGGATCAGCGGGAAGAGGCGCCCAATTACAAGATTGACGGGGAAGAGGAGGACAGCAGTTTGGACGCTGGTGAGCAGCTGGGACCAGGTCCCAGGGAACGGACCCACTGGAAGAAGAACATGACAGCAGCCTTCATCCTCAAGAGCTGAAGTCATCTCAGTCATTGCCCTCCCAGCTTTAGGTACCTGTTTGGCAAGTCAGCCATGATTATCCAAAGACAGGACATCCTCATGGACATTATCTAGGGACAGGACATCTAAGGCTAAGACTGACATGCCGTTCCCAAGGCTGCTTCACTCATTCATCAACGGGAACAGGGTGGAAGTCTGTTAGAGCATTCAAAGCAAAGTGAAAACAAAGGCACCTCAGGACCCTGTTTCTGACCCTGAAAGGAAGGAGGGTGTGATACAGTGAAAGAATTGCGCGCCACCAACACCCCACGCCAGGCTCACCCGCACCTGGCTTGTCTCTCTCAGCTGTGCTGCTGCTTCTCCTCCAGAACATAACATTGACCACCATGTCTCACAGCAGCGACGTCAGGCAACAAGTGAGTCTCTGGACTCTCGTAAACCGGTTCCAGGGATGTCGAGTTAAGACCGAGAGCCACAGATGGTCCCGGGTGAGCTTCTCTACAATGAGGGACGAGAACAGGTGTCTAAGAAGATAAATGAGAACAGGACAGATGTGAGTTGGCATCCTGATGGGGTCCCAGGCAAAGATGTATTTTGTCCAGCCACAAGCTCACTGTGACAACTCAGCCACCATCTGATACCCTATCAAGATGCTTCCAAATGACATGGCAGTGGGACTCCTTTGTGATGTTAGGACACCAGGTTTTTTAAAAAAATATTTATTTATTTGACAGAGAAAGACTCGATGAGAGAGGGAACACAAGCATGGGGAGCGGGAGAGGGAGAAGCAGGCTTCCCGCTGAACAGGGAGACTGATGCGGGGCTCGATCCCAGGACCCTGGGATCATGACCTGAGCCAAAGGCAGATGCTTAATGACTGAGCCACCCAGGCACCACTGGACATGAGGTTTTTGAGGATAAGGTTAATTTATATTGTATGAGAGTTTAAAATTAAAAACTGTTTTTTTAAAACTTCCTAAGAGTTTTGATAAATCTTTTGCTCTACAAAAGTTTGCATCAGGTTTCCACTCAAGATAGTTTGGTAAATTCACACTTTGAGCACCTGCTCTACTCCAAATGTGGAGGAACCATCAATAAGCTACAAAAAGAAAGAATAACACATACTGGCTGGGCTTAAAAACAGGATAAATATCTCTGAGAAGTGGAATTAGAAAAAATGGTGTTAAGCAGGGAAGTCACAGGATTTCTGGGCTCCAGGTCTGGAAGAAGGTAGTACACAGGTGGGAGTTGCCTCGTGTAGGGTAACTGGAATTAAAAGTGTTTTGTGGGTGGGGGAAGGGAGAGTGGTGAAGGGATGCCATGACACGCACACAAAACTCCCAGCAAAGACTGGGAGGCTTACTGGTTCCGGGCATTTACAAAATCTCTGTCTAAACATTAAATCACCATGAAACTAAAGTGAGCAGAAACTTCACCTGCAAGCCATGATGAACAGAGAATTCATTCAGAAAAAGTCACTAACCAAATAACAATAACAACTACTAAGAACAACATAATCCTGGGGCAGGGAAAGGAAATATGATTTCCAGCATTGCCACATTCCATTATTTAAAATGGCCAGTTTTGGGCGCCTGGGTGGCTCAGTGGGTTAAAGTATCTGCCTTCGGTTCAGGTCATGATCTCAGGGTCCTGGGATTGAGCCCTGCATCGGACTCTCTGCTCAGCAGGGAGCCAGCTCCCCACATACCTGCCTGCCTCTCTGCCTACTTGTGATCTCTGACAAATAAATAAAATCTTTAAAAAATATATTTAAAATGGTCAGTTTTTTTTTTTTATAATTTTATTTTTTTTTTATAAACATATATATATATATTTTTTTTCCCCCAGGGGTACAGGTCTGTGAATCTCCACGTTTACAAACTTCACAGCACTCACCATAGCACATACCCTACCCAATGTCCATAACCCCCCCCCTACCCCCCTCTGCCCAGCAACCCTCAGTTTGTTTTGTGAGATTAAGAGTCACTTATGGTTTGTCTCCCTCCCAATCCCAACTTGTTTCATTTACTCTTCTCCTACCACATTAACCCCCCATGTTGCATCTCCTCTCCCTCATATCAGGGAGATCATATGATAGTTGTCTTTCTCCGATTGACTTATTTCGCTAAGCATGATACCCTCTAGTTCCATCCATGTTGTCGCAAATGGCAAGATTTCATTTCTTTTGATGGCTGCATAGTATTCCATTGTATATATATACCACATCTTCTTTATCCATTCGTCTGTTGATGGACATCTAGGTTCTTTCCATACTTTGGCTATTGTAGACATTGCTGCTATAAACATTCGGGTGCACGTGCCCCTTCGGATCACTATGTTTGTATCTTTAGGGTAAATACCCAGCAGTGCAATTGCTGGGTCATAGGGTAGTTCTATTTTCAACATTTTGAGGAACCTCCATGCTGTTTTCCAGAGTGGTTGCACCAGCTTGCATTCCCACCAACAATGTAGGAGGGTTCCCCTCTCTCCGCATCCTCGCCAGCATCTGTCATTTCCGGACTTGTTAATTTTAGCCATTCTGACTGGTGTGAGGTGGTATCTCATTGTGGTTTTGATTTGTATTTCCCTGATGCCGAGTGATATGGAGCACTTTTTCATGTGTCTGTTGGCCATCTGGATGTCTTCTTTGCAGAAATGTCTGTTCATGTCCTCTGCCCATTTCTTGATGGGATTATTTGTTCTTTGGGTGTTGAGTTTGCTAAGTTCTTTATAGATTCTGGACACTAGCCCTTTATCTGATATGTCGTTTGCAAATATCTTCTCCCATTCTGTCAGTTGTCTTTTGGTTTTGTTAACTGTTTCCTTTGCTGTGCAAAAGCTTTTGATCTTGATAAAATCCCAATAGTTCATTTTTGCCCTTGCTTCCCTTGCCTTTGGCGATGTTCCTAGGAAGATGTTGCTGCGGCTGAGGTCGAAGAGGTTGCTGCCTGTGTTCTCCTCAAGGATGTTGATGGATTCCTTTCTCACATTGAGGTCCTTCATCCATTTTGAGTCTATTTTCGTGTGTGGTGTAAGGAAATGATCCAATTTCATTTTTCTACATGTGGCTGTCCAATTTTCCCAACACCATTTATTGAAGAGGCTGTCTTTTTTCCATTGGACATTCTTTCCTGCTTTGTCGAAGATTAGTTGACCATAGAGTTGAGGGTCTATTTCTGGGCTCTCTATTCTGTTCCATTGATCTATGTGTCTGTTTTTGTGCCAGTACCATGCTGTCTTGATGATGACAGCTTTGTAATAGAGCTTGAAGTCCGGAATTGTGATGCCACCAACTCTGGCTTTCTTTTTCAATATTCCTTTGGCTATTCGCGGTCTTTTCTGGTTTCATATAAATTTTAGGATTATTTGTTCCATTTCTTTGAAAAAAATGGATGGTACTTTGATAGGAATTGCATTAAATGTGTAGATTGCTTTAGGTAGCATAGACATTTTCACAATATTTATTCTTCCAATCCAGGAGCATGGAACATTTTTCCATTTCTTTGTGTCTTCCTCAATTTCTTTCATGAGTACTTTATAGTTTTCTGTGTATAGATTCTTAGTCTCTTTGGTTAGGTTTATTCCTAGGTATCTTATAGTTTTGGGTGCAATTGTAAATGGGATGGACTCCTTAATTTCTCTTTCTTCTGTCTTATTGTTGGTGTAGAGAAATGCGACTGATTTCTGTGCATTGATTTTATATCCTGACACATTACTGAATTCCTGTACAAGTTCTAGCAGTTTTGGAGTGGAGTCTTTTGGGTTTTCCACATAGAGTATCATATCATCTGCGAAGAGTGATAGTTTGACTTCTTCTTTGCCGATTTGGATGCCTTTAATTTCTTTTTGTTGTCTGATTGCTGAGGCTAGGACTTCTAGTACTATGTTGAATAGCAGTGGTGATAACGGACATCCCTGCCGTGTTCCTGACCTTAGCGGAAAAGCTTTCAGTTTTTCTCCATTGAGAATGATATTTGCGATGGGTTTTTCATAGATGGCTTTGATAATATTGAGGTATGTGCCCTCTATCCCTACACTTTGAAGAGTTTTGATCAGGAAGGGATGCTGTACTTTGTCAAATGCTTTTTCAGCATCTATGGAGAGTATCATATGGTTCCTGTTTTTTCTTTTATTAATGTGTTGTATCACATTGATTGATTTGCGGATGTTGAACCAACCTTGCAGCCCTGGAATAAATCCCACTTGGTCGTGGTGAATAATCCTTTTAATGTACTGTTGAATCCTATTGGCTAGTATTTTGGTGAGAATTTTTGCATCTGTGTTCATCAAGGATATTGGTCTGTAGTTCTCTTTTTTGATGGGATCCTTGTCTGGTTTGGGGATCAAGGTGATGGTGGCCTCATAAAATGAGTTTGGAAGTTTTCCTTCCATTTCTATTTTTTGGAACAGTCTCAGGAGAATAGGAATTAGTTCTTCTTTAAATGTTTGGTAGAATTCCCCCGGGAAGCCGTCTGGCCCTGGGCTTTTGTTTGTTTGGAGATTTTTGATGACTGTTTCAATCTCCTTACTGGTTATGGGTCTGTTCAGGCTTTCTATTTCTTCCAGGTTCAGTTGTGGTAGTTTATATGTCTCCAGGAATGCATCCATTTCTTCCAGATTGTCAAATTTGTTGGCATAGAGTTGCTCATAATATGTTCTTATAATTGTCTGTATTTCTTTGGTGTTAGTTGTGATCTCTCCTCTTTCATTCATGATTTTATTTATTTGGGTCCTTTCTCTTCTCTTTTTGATAAGTCTGGCCAGGGGCTTATCAATCTTATTAATTCTTTCAAAGAACCAGCTCCTAGTTTCGTTGATTTGTTCTATTGTTTTTTTGGTTTCTATTTCATTGATTTCTGCTCTGATCTTTATGATTTCTCTTCTCCTGCTGGGTTTAGGGTTTCTTTCTTGTTCTTTCTCCAGCTCCTTTAGGTGTAGGGTTAGGTTGTGTACCTGAGACCTTTCTTGTTTCTTGAGAAAGGCTTAAAATGGTCAGTTTTTAACAAAAGATCACAAGACACCAAAAGAAACAACAAAGTATATCTCACTCATGCATGTGTGTGTGCACATACACAGCCATAAATACACTGTCCCTGAGGAAGTCGAGACACAGGATATACTAGGAAGAGACTTTATTTTTTTTTATTTTTTTTTTATTTAAAGATTTTTATTTATTGATTTGACAGAGAGAGATCACAAGCAGACAGAGAGGCAGGCAGAGAGAGAGAGAGAGGGAAGCAGGCTCCCTGCTGAGCAGAGAGCCCGATGCAGGACTCGATCCCAGGACCCTGAGATCATGACCTGAGCCGAAGGCAGCGGCTTAACCCACTGAGCCACCCAGGCGCCCCTAGGAAGAGACTTTAAATAAGCTACTTTTTAAAAAAGATTTTATTTATTTATTTGTCAGAGAGAGAGAGAGCAAGAGCGCGTGCACAAACAGGGGAGGAAGCAGGCAGAGGGAGAAGCAGGCTCCCTAACGAGCAAAGAGCCCAATGCGGGACTCGATCCCAGGACCCCGGGATCACGACCTGAGTTGAAGTACATGCTCAACCCACTGAGCCACCCAGGCACCCCCGAATAAGCTATTTTTTTTTAAAAAAGGATTTTATTTACTTATTTGACAGAAAGAGAGAGAGAGAGCACACACAAGCAGGGGGAGCAACAGGCAGAGGGAGAGGCAGGCTCTCTGTGAGCAGGGAGCCCGATGGGGGGCTCAATCCCAGGATTCTGGGATCATGACCCAAGATGAAGGCAGACCCCTAAGGACTGAGCCACCCAGCCACCCCCAAATCAGCTATATTAAATGTGTTCAAAGAACCAAAGACAACCATGTCTAAAGAACTAAAGGAAAGTGAATGAGAATGGCGTTTTGCCAAATAGAAAACATCAGTAAATATACAGAAATTATTTTTTAAAAGAACCACACAGAAAGCCCACAGTTGAAAAATACATGCATTGAAATGCAAAGTTCACTGGAAAGGCTCCACGGCAGATCTGAGCAGGCAGAGGAAACAATCAGCAAACCTGAAGACAGGTCAATTGGCATTATCCCATCTGAGCAGCAGAAAGAATGAAGAAAAACGAGCACAGTCACCTGCAGACCACCATTTCCCACCAATACCTAAAGGAAAAGAGCTCTTTCTTTGAGACTGGCACAAAGACCTGGTCACGCTCACACTCTCCGAGTTCCACCGCCAGCCAACAGTTGCACAGGAAGTACCATTTCCTTTCACCTGCCAGGTCACTGACAGTGACCTGGTTTACATACCTACGGTAAAATGAAGGTAGGTATGTTACGGGGGGGGGGGGGTGGTGGGCGCGAACCAGCTGCTGCAACAAGAGGTAATCTTGCCCTGTTGGGAAATGGATTCTTTTCATTGTGAGGCAAGAACTAAAGAAAGAGAGAAGAGCTGATCCAAGTGTTCCCTTCCTGACCTCTAAGGGAATTCATGCATCAAAACCAGAATGCAGCCTTCTGTCACTCGGGAACACTCCAGTGTGTGTATGTCTCCCTTAACTTTCCTTGTTCATACACGCCAGTCGCCTGTTCGTACAGCCCACCTGCCTCTGTCTTCTGTCACCAGGGCCTGAAGGGGCGTCCCTGGCAGGTGGGGACTGGTCTTCAACATTCATATTAATGACTTCTCATCATACTGGGTTCTGTACACTCTACAGTTCAACACATTTTGAGAAATGTAAATACTGTGTAAGCACCACCACCATCAAATTATCACTCCCAAAAGTTCCCTGTGCCCCTTTCCAGTCAGCCCCACTGAGGGCCACCCCTAGCCCCAGGTGACCACTGATCTGCTTTCTGTCCCTCAGACTAGTTTGCTTTTTTTAGAATTTCATATATGTGGATGCCTATGGCATGTTTCCTTTTGTGTCTGGCTTCTTTTGCTTTGTAAAATGTTTCTGGCATTCACCCACGTCACTGTATCAGTAGATTGTTCTTTGTGTTGGTGGGCTGTACTCCTTTTAGTGAACGTGCTAACATTTGTTTCTTCATTCACCTGATGGGCACGCGTGCTGTTCCTAGTTTTGGATGACTATTAACAAAGCTGCTATGAATGTATGTGTGTAAGTCCCGGAACGGACGTGCATTTTCATTGATCTTGGGTGATCACCTAGGAGTGCAATTTCTGGGTCATGTGGTACATACATGTCTGTTGGCCTTCACAAGCCCTGCCAAACCGTCCGTTCATGTGGCTGCACCGCTGTGTGCTCCTGCCTGAGGCGCATAAGTTCCAGTGGCTCCCAACGTCACCCCAACTCGATTTTGTCAGACTTTATTCTAGTCATTCTAGACAGATGTTCAGTGCTCTCACTGTGCTTTTAACTTGCATTTTTGATGACTAGCGACATTATGCATCTCTTCAGGGGCCCATTATGCATTATTCCCCTTTATAAATCAAACCGCAATCAGTGTCCAAGCTCTTTGTAGATGCCTGAACAGAGGAGAAGCAGCAAGCAAATGCTTAGACTCGACTGGCCTCGCGTAGCGCAGAGAGACTCCTGCTGCTAATGCTTTCGGGCAGGGAGCGTACTCTTTGCAGTGGGCAACACTCAGCAACTGACTGATCAGAGTCCCTGTGCCTTAGACCTTTGGCTCCATTCCCTTCTGTTTTCCTAACTCCGGTCAATAGTCTCGTTCTGAGTGCGGCGGCAGGAAGAACAGAAGCACGTGGACTTCACGCATGTCACGTTCATGGCCTCATCACTGACCCTTTTCCTCACAAGTTCCCTGGGCCTGTCCCACATCAGGATTCTGCCCTCCTTTTCTCTCTTCTGAAGCTCTTAATTTTGACCAGAAGTGTATTTAGTGAAGAGTCGTTTATTAAGTTTACTCTTCAAAGATATTTTTTGGGGCACCCAGCTGGCTCAGTTGGTTAAGCGTCTGCCTTTGGCTCAGATCACGATCCCAGGGTCCTGGGATCAAGCCTCGTGTTGGGCTCCCAGCTCAGTGGGATGTCTCCTTCTCCCTCTACCTCTGCCCATCCCCCTGCTTATACTCTCTCTCTCTCTCTCTCTCACTTGCTCACTCTTTATCTCTAATAAATAAATAAAATCTTTTAAAAAATAAAGATATTTTTCATGTGTAGGGATTCTTCTCATTTACAACACTTTGGGCAGTAAATTGACATGATTCAGTCTTCACAATCATGACACCATTAAATGAAAATAAAAGAAAAAAATCACCTGTCACTTTACCATCCACACAGAATCATATTGTTAATTTTCCCTGTTTCTTTTCAGAGTTTCACCTTTGTAGATGCTTTGAAATTTAAATCTACTAGTCATTTGTTATGATTTCGCCCAAAGTGTTATTGTTCTGAGTGGCGGTGGCATGCTGGTCTCGCCCCCAAACTGGGGGAATCAACAGAGAAGGAAGGACAAGGCCGCCCGACACAGGTACTTACCAAGAAAGGCTGGCCCCCGAGTTGTCATGCCAGAGCCGCAGGCCGTGCAACTCCCCGAGGGAGGACTGGGTGGTGAGGAGGAAGACGTCCAGTCCCCCTCGCTCAAAGACTGCCTTCTGGGGGTCACAAAGGTGATGGGGCTCACTCCGTCCCTCTGATCCATAAAGGGTGATAACCACCTAAAACACAACAAGGAAAGATAAAATGCAGGATGTTCTAACATGACCCCTTGAGTTTATCCAGGGGAAAGGAGGAGACAGAGAAAACTACGAAGGTGAAGTCGCTGGGGGGCTGGACAAGCTCAGCGGGCTCTACACACATACAGTTTAGAACCAGGACCTGTGCTCCTAATGTGCTCCTGGAGGGTGGGGTGTCATCAGGTCAGAGCGCATCTTGTGCGCTAGAAGACGCAAGCCAAGGCCGAAGACCACTCATTTCACTAACCTTAGCTGCTGTGGCAGCCCTTCTTCGATAGCCAGTGGAGACCTGAAGCAGGTAGTGAAACTGAGAGCTGGGGCCATTGTCGGCTAGGACAGTGACCTTCACCTGCAGGGAAAGCAGAACCAAGAAGGATCTTGGCCTGAGAAGCAGGAGGATGAGCGGTCCAGCTTCGACAACCCGACGGAGAGCAAGGGGGACTTGCAAGTGGGAGGTAAACAAGCAGACCCAAGGGACAGAACAGCGGTGAGGGCTGGAAGACCCAGCTTTATGCCTAGAAAATGAAATAGTCACAGAATCCCCGATCAGGTCTTGGGCTTCGAAATCTTTCTACCTCCCTCCCATGCAGCCAGGATTATCACACAACCCGGAGGACACCTAGTTAAGTGTGAATCTCTGATAAACATGAATCACTGGGGAGCACACTTACACTAAAAATGCATTCACTATATGAAATTCAAATTTAACTGGGTGTCCTATGTTTTTATTTACAAAAACTGGCAACTCTTCACCCATAGCAACAAAGAAATGGATGGCATGTATTCTAGAATTTCCAAGGGTAAGAAAACATACGAATAAAAAACACATGCAATGGATGCTAAGAAGAGGCTGTCATCAGGGTGCCTGGGTGGCTCAGTTGGTTGAGCACCTGACACCTGACTTCAGCTCAGGCTGTGATCTCAGGATTGTGAGATGGAGGTCCGCAAAGGGCTCTGTACTCAGCGCACAGTCTGCTTAAGTTTCTTTCTCCCTCTCCCTCTGTCCTTCCCCCGTGCACTTGCTCTTTCTAAAATAAATAAATAAATCCTTAAAAAAAAAAAAAAGAGGATGCCATCAAGGGACTTTTTGTTGTTGTTCAAAAAAGAGATTCCTTACAGGTTTCTTATCTATCACAGTTACATGAAATTATCATTTCACTTCCACATTAATTTATATCAAATGTATAAAGTGAGACAAACTTGCATTAGATTTTGGTTAAGTTCTCTAGATGTTCTGTGTGATTCCTAACCTAAACAAAACACAGGAGGGTTCAACCACCACTAAAGGAAAAGAAAAAAAAAAAAAAAAGGAGATAGAGCATTAAGTTGCTAAGCAGACAGGAGACATGAGGGAAAAGTCCCCCCTGAATTTCTATGCCACAAAGTACCACGCTACCAGCCTCTTCAGGTCAAGGGTTTTTTCCATCTTGTTCAACACACTCAAGACACTGTGGCAAAGCTTCTAGAATCAATGTCTCACCTTCTGCATGTCTGCTTGATCCTTTCTCCAAGCCCACACACACGTGAGTATATAGAATCCTAAAAGGCTGGCCAGCAAAGACACCCCAGCAGGGTTGTTGGTCACACGAAGGAACAGCTTGATCGTGTCCTTAATGTTCACGGTCCGGGGCACAATGAAGAAGTCGCTGCCGGAGTAGGCCAGGCGGTTACAGAGACACTGCGTCCTCAAAACCGTGCTCTGTGGCCCAACCTGTAATTAGAATCAAGACGCTGATTCTAACTGAACAGAATGCTAAGGAAGGGACAATCATAAAACACAAACATAGGCAGTTCTGAGAGGGAAAACTGTCCGGGTTGCGTATTCACTGCTGGTGGTCGCAGAGGCCGGGGGAAGCAGCGGAGAGCGATCTGGCAGCCTCGGCCTCCAGCCACTCCAGGAGTGAACACAGACCCCAGGGGAAGTCTGCACATGCGCACAAGGAGACGTGAGAAAGAATGTTTCCGTCGCTGCTGTTCATAACCAAAGAATCGGAAATGACCTGTCTATGTCCAGTAACAGCAGAACATATAAACAAAGAAGTAGAGGGCTACTACTCTCTACTGATGGGATATTCTCTAGCAGTTAAAATGAATGAGTCAGAGCCAGATAATAGCATTGTGCATAAATGCTGAGTGAAAAATACAAGTTAAAGGGGACACCTGAGTGGCTCAGTCGGTTAAGCATCTGCCTTTGGCTCAGGTCATGATCCCAGGGTCCTGGAATTGAGCCCCGCATCGGTCTCTCTGCTCAGCAGGGAGTCTGCTTCTCCCTCTCCCACTCCTCTTGCTTGTGCTCTCTCTCCCTGTCAAATAAATAAAATCTTAAAAAAAAAAAAAGTTAAAGAAGGATGGTACAAATGGTACCATTTACACAGAGACCCAAAGCATGCCCAACAACACTCGTGTGTCAGTATGACTGACTGTTTTCCATGCCACAAGGTCAAGCTCTGGGTGCCGGGTCTATCTCTTGCCCTGGGAGGACTCCGGCAGCTCTGTTCCTTGCATGGAGGTCCAAACGCTGTACAGGTCCTCAAGGAGGCAGGAAACCCCCTGGTGCTTTTTGTGAGTAGTGGGGTCACTGCTGGGTGAGTCTTGCTATTCAAAGTGCCGTCTCCGCAACTCGGAGCACTGACATCACCTGGGAGCCTGTTAGAAAGGCAGAAGCTCAGGTCCCACCCTCTTTTACTACAACAGAATCTGCCATTGAACAGGCTCCCAGGTAGAGGATTTGCTAGAAAGGCTTTGCTCCAGATCTTCCAGAAATCTCTGCTAAGGCCATGAATGGTGTCAGTGCCTTCCAGAGCATCCTCTTTCCCTCTATTCCCATGTGAATGACCCCTCTCAGCTCTTTTACGAACAGCCTCATGATTTCCAGAACCTTGCACCACAGTCTTTGTGCAACTGAACCAGGACTTAAATCAGACGGGATCGCACAAATTCATCAGCGTGAAAATGCAGAGTGCCATTTTTTTTAAAAGATTTTTTTTAAAGATTTTATTTATTTATTTGACAGACAGAGATCACAAGTAGACAGAGAGGCAGTCAGAGAGAGAGGGGGAAGCAGGTTCCCGCTAAGCAGAGAGCCCTATGCGGGGCTCGATCCCAGGATCATGACCTGAGCCGAAGGCAAATGCTTAACTGACTGAGCCACCCAGATGCCTCTGCTAGCTTATTTTTATAAAAGTTCTTTTTAATTTTTATTTTTTGAAGATTTTATTTGCCAGAGAAAAAGAATAAAAGCAGGGGAAGCAGGAGAGAGAGAGAAAGAAGCCCCCCGCTGAACAGGGAGCCGGATATGGGGCTCGATCCCAGAACCCTAGGATCATGACCTGAGCTGAAGGCAGACACTTAACAACTGAGCCACCCTGGCACCCCTAAAAGTTCTCTTTTATTAAGCAAGAAGTTTTCCTTTTACCCACCACATATTTAATATTTGTAGGACTCCTGCATATTACTTACTATATCTAAAACTGTCAGACTCACCCTGGACTGAGTTTAGGAAAGAAATTACACATATGGGGCACAAGCCAGCTCCAAAGAGGCACACTGTCCTGGCCCGCTACACAGATTCCTTCTCCGTTTTCCCAGGCTGACTTATTTCCCGTCTGCTGATTTTTCTTTCTAGGCTCCCTCCCCCACAAACAAGGTAGGAGATGCTCTGCATTTCATGCCAGCGCAGGCGGTAGAGAAAGAGCAAGTGGCGTGGCTTCTTACGTGGCATCCACGGCTCTTCCACATGCTGTTGTGGCTGTCCCAGAAATAACACTGTGTGACGGCCGTCACCACCGAGAATCGGGAGGGTGTCTGGTGGGTGCTCTCCTTGTTTTCATTCCATGTGGCCATCACATGGTAGGTGCCGGTCCCGTGCCGCAGGCTCTCTAGGCTCAGCACCCACGTATATTCCTCAGCTGAGAACCAAGAACAATGCTTAGTTGCCTTTTATTTTTTTTTAAAGGATTTTATTTATTTATTGGGCAGACAGAGATCACAAGCAGGCAGAGAGGCAGGCAGAGAGAGAGGAGGAAGCAGGCTCCCTGCTGACCAGAGAGCCCGATACGGGGCTCGATCCCAGGACCCTGGGATCATGACCTGAGCCGAAGGCCAAGGCTTTAACCCACTGAGCCACCCAGGCGCCCCGCTTAGTTGCCTTTTAAATGGGACAAAAGTACCATGAGAACCTTCCTTATGAAGGATGTATTATTATCATTATTTTACAAATAGGGAAATGATTAAGCCTGGAATTAACAAATGATTTTGTTTTCTTAACATTTGAGAGAGAGCGTGTGCACAAGTGCACTATGAGCGGGAGGAGCAGAGGGAGAGGGAGAGAGATTCTCAGGAAGAATCCATGCTGAGCACAGCTGGATCCCATGACCCTGACCTCATGATCGAGCCGAAACCAAGGGTCGGATGCTTACCTGACTGTGCCACCCAGGCGCCCCACAAATGATTTTCAAGATAATGACTGGTGATACAACCTGGGGCTTTGCATCACTCCTGTTCCAATAAGAAACTGGTATTTTTTTTGACGAATGAAGATTTAGGTCTAACGGGTCAGGATTTTATGAATTTTAGAAAAATGAAATCGTCATCCATCACAATGAGTAGCTATAAGACCTAGCGAGCAAAAGAAGCCCCCAAATGAAGCAATGATGGAAAGAGCCAGACTGATTGCAGGAAAGAGCCCTGATTCCAGGTCCGGCTCTGTCACCAGGTGGCTGGGAAGGGCTACGGCGAGTCCCACAATCTCCCTAGCTTTCTCACTTTTCAGACAAGGACTCTGGACCAGAGGTTGTCTAAGATCCCCTTCAGCTCCAAATATGATACTGTCAAGATGGGCACGGAAGATGGGAGCACGTGCTCCGAATGGGGAGAGAGCCCGCTGGTAGCACAGACAGAGCCTTGCAGCGGTGAGCCCTGTGTCAGTGAGGCCGACACGAGAGCCAGAGGCAGCTCACTCAGCCTGGGCAGACCATAACAGAAGGAGACTACGACATGCTTTATCCATTCCGATGACTCCCCCCATCCCATTGTTTTTTAAATGCGAAGGCTTAGCTCTTAAGACTTCCCTGTAGCTTTAGAATAATTTTTTTCTTTAAATTAACATATAGTGTATCGCAAGTTTCAGGGGTAGAGTTCAGTGATGCATCAGTTTTAAATAACACCCAGTGCTCATCACATTACGTGCCCTCCTTTGTGCCCATCTCCCCGTTACCCCATCCCGACTCCCCAGTACTACATTTAAAGTTGATATCTGGTGACTATGTTTCTCGGTCGAGTATATCCAGGCCCTATTTATGTATTGCAGAAATTCTTAACTATTCTAAGCCACAAAGTAGTCTGTCTGGTATTACACCAAGACCTACTGAGACATCTCTGTCCTTACCCAAACCCAAGATTAGAAATAAAGGTTGAAATATAGACATAACCCACTGTGCTGGAATTTTATTCTCAACATTATGGAAATTTTCAACCATGCAGAAAGTGGACTATTACACAGTGAACACCCAAATAATCCCCGAACAGATTCTATAATTAACATTTTACTGAACTTGGGGCACCTGGCTGGCTCAGTCAGAAGACCATGTGACTCTTGATCTTGGGGTCAAGAGTTTGAGCCCCACATGGGGTGTGAAGATTGCTTAAATAAGTTAAACTTTAAAAAAAAAATTTACTAAATTTGCTTTATCACCTATAGATCTCGATCCATTCCACAATCCATCTTTTTAAAAAATGCATTTCAGGGTCATGTATATTTACACACATGATGCAATTCCATAGAACTAATAAACACACATACACGAGTGCGTGTAACACTGGTGAATCCCAGTGAGGTCAATGCATTGTACCAGTGTCATTTCCTGGTGAGGATATTGTGCTGTAGTTAAGTAGGACATCACCAGTAGGAAAAACTGGGTGAGATACAGATCTGTTTAATTTTTCACAATTGCATGAGAACCCACAGTTACCTCAAAATAAAAAGGAAAAAAAAAAAGGAAGAAGAAAATGCATTTCAAAGATTTCAAAGTAAGTTTCTGGGGCGCCTGGGTGGCTCAGTGGGTTAAGCCTCTGCCTTCGGCTAAGGTCATGATCCCAGGGTCCTGGGACTTAGCCCCGCATGGGGCTCTCTGCTCAGCAGGGAGCCTGCTTCCCTTTCTCTCTCTCTCTCTGCCTACTTGTGATCTCTGTCTGTCAAATAAATAAATAAAATCTTAAAAAAAAAAAAAGTAAGTTTCTGATTGGGGCTTTTACCTTTTTGCCACACCTGAGTCTTTGGAAGGGTGACGTTCAGGTCAAAGTGGGTGTGGTTCGGCTGATACTGGAACCCCAGGTAGAGTGTCATTAAAAGGCGACTTTCAGGTTCTATGCATACAATCAGGGATTTCTCCAGGGAAGTGATGTTCACTACAATAATAAAATGATCTGAGCTCACGTTGACGCTGGTGTGATGGCTTTCCATGCTAACATTTCTCCACAGCATGATCTAGAAGGAGACAGTAAATCAATCTTCAAGTTCATGATGGTCCATCCACTGACGCCTTTCAGTCTCCTTTCTAGCGAAAATGGAATGTGACTTCCTAAGTCTTCCTCCGTGAGTATTAATAGGTAACAAAGAGCCAGGCATGAAGGGACAAGAACAATCTCAGACCAAAACACCTTCTCCTAATGGAAAAGTAACCTCCTTGTAGAAGCTCCCCAGTGGAGATGGGAATAATCAAACAATGGGACTGCCGTGAATCTCAAATGACTTCCTTCCATCCTGTTCTCCAAGAATTCCTATTCCCTTCTATTTCATTCCCTAATAATCATGTCATACCTCGATATCTTCCATTAAGTCATCGACTTGGAACAATTTATGATTAGAGCTTAGCAACACACTTCCGATGCTTCCAACAATGTTCTTGTCATCAAAATCCCTGAAGGGATTGAAAGCTAGTCCTGTTACCTAGAGACAAGAGAACTCGGTTTCATCCATTGCTGAAATCTTCAGAAAATCTTTAGAAATAACACCCCTATAGGTAATAAGGTGTCAGGTATCCATAATTAAAGTAAATGTTGGGATTTTTTCCCCTTGCTAATATCTTAAGTGAAATATTTCTCATTAGAACACCATATGGGAAGAATTAATTGAAGATGAGTCATTTACTTGGGACCCTCAGAATTATTATTACTTTTTTACACCTTTATACCTGGAGGATTCATGATTACTAGGAAGTAAGTATTCTGCTCTCCCGGATAAGGCACCAATCTTACTTCTGTTTGTCAGGTAAGCGCTGAAAGAAATACAATGTACTGATGCGGCTAAGCTGATATACTGAGTCCATACTTACCCAGGTATTCCCAGCTTTGTATATGTACCAATTCAAACTTTTTTTTTTTTTTAAAGATCTTATTTATTTATTTGACAGAAAGAGATCACAAGCAGGCAGAGAGTCAGGCAGAGAGAAAGGAGGAAGCAGACTCCCTGCCAAGCACAGATCCCAATGTGGGACTCAATCCCAGGACCCTGAGACCACGACCTGAGCCGAAGGCAGAGGCTTAACCCACTGAGCCACCCAGGCGCCCTGTATATGCATCAATTCAAACCCTAACCCAGAAACTGTCAAATCCCAAAGTCTGTTTAATGCTCCCAACTTCTACCGTGGATCATTTTTAAGAGGCCTCCATTCCCGTGTGCCCAGGTGGCTCAGTTAGTTAAGCATCTGCCTTCGGCTCACATCCTGATCCCAAAGTCCCGGGACTGAGTCCTGCATCGGGCCCACTGTTCGGCAGGGAGTCTGCGTCTCCCTCCGCCCCTTCCCCCAGCTTGTGTGTTCTCTCTCAAAAGTAAAAAATAGGGGCGCCTGGGTGGCTCAGTGGGTTAAAACCTCTGCCTTCAGCTCAGGTCATGATCTCAAGGTCCTGGGATCGAGCCCTGCATCAGGCTCTCTGCTCAGCTGGGAGCCTGCTTCCTCCTCTCTCTCTGCCTGCTTCTCTGCCTACTTGTGATCTCTGTCAAATAAATAAATAAAATCTAAAAAAAAAAAAAAAAAGAGGCCTCCATTCCTACCACTGTGAAACAGAGATCCAGGGCACCCAGCCTTCTTTTGTTTGGTCTGGTGAGCTTACATTTCCCGGTGCACACCCTTCATGGGGCATTCAATGCCTGCAGCATCAATCCCATTTCTAATCAGATCAGAATCAATTTCACACTCATTTGGACATTAACTCCCCGGTGTCTGTTCAAGAGCTCTTGCAAAGCTGAGGTTGATGGAAAGACTAACCTCACAGGTGCTGGGGACCAGAGACTGTAGGAGCTCAGAGGCCAGGTTGACATGTTTTGGCTAAGGAAGAAGAAATTAAAGTGAAATAAATTTCTGTGTGTTTTCTAGGGGAAAAAACCTAAAAGGAACCTCTCCCCCTTCCTCCTCTGTCACCTGCTCAGCATCAGAGTAGTAACAGAAGAGGTCATAGTCACTAAAGACTCAGAAACCCAGTTCTGCTGTAGAAATACTTCTTGGATCTTTCCAAGGGCCAGCAAGGCCATTTCCAGCATATTTTCTACCTGCATTTAGAAGAAATCACTATGTGACCTGAGTAACCTCAGTGGATAATGGTTTTGGAGGGGCTGGACAGGGAACAAAGATCTTGATGGTGACTTAAGGAAAGGTGACATTCTTGGAAAAGACCCATAGAAAGTACTTCCAGTCGGGCTAAAGACTCAACATCCTTTGTATCAACTAAGAGGGCCACCCAAAGACATATTTCTTTGTCCTGTGATATAAGCTGCCCTGGACCTTTTTTAAAGAGAGGGAGTGAGAGAGAGGAGCAGAGGGAGAAAGAATCTTAGGCAGACTCTGCACCGGGCACAGAGCCCGACGCTGGGCTCAATCTCACGACCCTGAGATCATGACCTGAGCCAAAATCAAAAGTTGGACACTTAACTGACTGTTCCACACAGGGGCCTCATGATTAAAAAGTTTCTTTTCTTTTTTTTTTTTTTTAAGATTTTTAAAATTTGACAGAGATCACAAGTAGGCAGAGAGGCAGGCAGAGAGAGAGGAGGAAGCAGGCTCCCCGCAGAGCAGAGAGCCTGATGTGCAGCTCGATCCCAGGACCCTGAGATCATGACCTGAACTGAAGGCAGAGGCTTAAACTCACTGAGCCACCCAGGCGCCCCGACGATTAAAAAGTTTCTAAAATGAGGGGCGCCTGGGTGGCTCAGTGGGTTAAAGCCTCTGCCTTCGGCTCAGGTCATGATCCCAGGGTTCTGGGATCGAGCCCCGCATCGGGCTCTCTGCTCTGCAGAGAGCCTGCTTCCTCCTCTCTCTCTCTCTGCCTGCCTCTCTGCCTACTTGTGATCTCTGTCTGTCAAATTAAAAAAAAAAAAAGTTTCTAAAATGAGATCAACATGAGCATCTCCCGCACCTACCTGCTCAATGTCATGCTTGGATCTTTGCAGACTGGCTTCACCAGCTTCCACGACATCGTCAAGGGAGTGAATGAGGCAGACAGTCATGGGGTTTTCGAAGCCCAGACTGCTGTTGCTCTCATATGCGCTCCCAGGTAACTGCCCATTCGGGTCACCAAGTGGACTGAGGACACTGACCTGGGAGTTTAAGGAAGCAAACACACACGCCTGAGCTGTTTCTGTCTGTTTTGAATTTATTTGTGCTCTTCTCATCAGGAGTTCGATGTTCTTTATGCATTTCAAACACATTTTTATAAAAAAGCACTATTACAACCTGGCAGGAGAAGAAAATACATTACGTGTTACCTATAGGGAGGATTCGTACTTCATGTTATTCTAAGGAACTGACAGAACCCTCCCGGAGTGGTAAGTAGATCAAACAGCTAATTCATAAAACTAAGCTTAAAAAAGGGAAAGGGCAGTACTGGCTGGAACACTGAGGAGACTATCCCTTGAAACTCGGGCCTCAAAAGCCTTCGAGATTGACTTATTATAGAAAGCAGGAAAAATTCTAAATGAACCAGAAAACCCCAATTCTCCTTTTGGTAGGTTGTTCTCACGCAAAACAAGTAAGAAGATAAGCAGATTGACAGACTATCCACTGTAGCTATGACTATTTTGGTTTTGAAATGTTTTTGTTTTCAAAGTAACATTTATTAAGAACTTCTGCATTAAAAAAAAAAAAAAAAGATCCAAAAGACAAAATGAAAAATAAGACCTGGGCACAAAATATTTGCAACACAAATAACAAAAGGTCAACACCAATAGTAAATAAAGCTCTCTTACCAACACGTAAGAAAAAATGACAAACAACCCATTGGAGGGAAAATGGACAAAGGACACGAAGAAACAACTGAGAGGTGATTGACACAATGTCAATCAATACATATGATGATGTTCAATGTCCTCAGTAATCAATAAAATGTTCCCTCCTCCTTTTCTTTCTTTTCTTGCCTTTGAAATTGGGAGAGCATGGACAATGGTTGGTAGGGATGTAAAACAGTGCCTATTTATTTATTTATTTGAGAGAGAGGGCACGTGGGGTAGGGGGCGCGGAGGGAGAGAGAGAATCCCAAGCAGGCTCCATGCTCAGCAGGGCTCGATCCCATGACCCCAAGATCATGACCTGAGCCAAAATCAAGAGTTAGACGCCCAACGAACTAAGCCACTCAGGTGCCCCAGAACAGTGCCTGTTGAGACAATTCTGTCATCTATTGAAAATGCAAGAGACCCTGCTTCTATCTCTGGCACTCTATTCCCCAGAAACATCTGCATAAGTAATCGGTGATGTAAGGACAAGGATGTTCATGGGTAGTATGCTGTTTCTGAGGGTGGACAAATGAAACATGTCCAAATGCACATGAAGAATGACTCGTTCATTTATGTGTATGACACAAAGATATCCATGACACAGCATTAAGTTAAAAAAAAAAAAAAAATCAAGAGGCCGAAACATTTGTATACTTTAAGCTCATTGTTGTTAAAATGACAAACTTGTCCATGCATAGAAAACAGTCTGGCAGGATATGCATGACAAATTAGTAATAATCTGGTAACAGTGACTACATTTAGAGAATGGGATTAGCAAGAGGGACAAAGATGGTGAGGGCTTTGGCTTTATAACTCTATATGCTTTTCAGATTTTTTAATAATGAGCATGCGTTATTACCATAATTAAGAAGCCCAAATAGGGGTACCTGGGTGGCTCAGTCGGTTAAGTGCCTGACTCGATTTTGGCGCAGGTCACGGTCGCAGATTCCTAAGAATGAGCTCCCATGTCAGGGCTCTGCACTGGGCATGGAGGCTGCTTAAGGTTCTCTCTCTCTCCCTCTGACCCCCCAGCCCCTGGCCCACACACATATTCTCTGTTTCTCTCAAAAAAAGAAGAAAAAAAGAAAGGAAGAAAAAAAGAAAAAGCCCAAATAAACACAGATTACATTTATAGGTTTATTGCAGAATATCTGAAAATAAAAGGCATGGAAAAGAAAAAATGAAAATGCTCACAGATCCTAGTCCCTTAATTTACTTATGTGTAGGGAGCAGAGCCAGGCACGAATAATTCCTGAGAATAACTGTGGCAGGCACAGATGCAAATATCACAGCGCACTGAAGGCCGATTGTCTGTTTCAGAGCTGAACTGCTCTATCTTGGCCAAGGAGTAGATCTGTTTCTGTCCCCCGTGATGTCTAACAAATGTATCAGAAAGGCAGTAACCTGATAAATGAACAAAAGAAACACAGCATACCTGAGAAGGTCACTACTGACTTATTTATTCACCATCTTCAGAGTTAAAGGTATAAATACTCTGGCCAAATATATCGAGTCTCTAAGAAATAGTTCATAAGGCGAAATTCTGCACAGGGCACCATCTCCAGATTTTGTATTTTCTGTTTTATATACTTTGTCTCTGCTTTGCTTCCCCCTTTCTCCTAACTTGTTTCCTCCCCATCACCCTATGCTTACCTGAGCTGACTTAGAAATTCCTGGGATAAAGGCTGTCAGTTTCTGGAGCATTTCACAAGCTGTCTGTAGTTTGCTGTGAGTTTGCAAACCATAAATCACTTTGCTCATGTTCCCTGCTTTCTTGTTTATGACCTGTTGGGGATGAAGGATTTTGCCAGAATTATTTATAGAAAATGACCGCACGTTAGTAGTTTGAGACATTGTTTTAACAAGAGTTAACATGACAAACTCCATGAATCACAAGCTCCCTGTAACAGTTACTCCTTTCAGAAGCTTTTCTGCAAATGGATAGAATTTTTACCTCTCTTATAGAGGAATAGATACCAAGGTCATACAATAACCACTCTTTAAGAGTCTACTGCTTTTGAACCAGAAGTCCCACCCTGAGATGATCTCTGTTTATACCCGCTACTTGCTGCCATTTCTAGAGAACAGCCCACTGCAGCTTGGTTCAGCCAATGTTCAGTAAATCTTTATTAAATGCCTACTCTGTGCAGCTGGGCTCAGGAGTTAGAGTCCTTAAAGTCAGCCATGATACAGCCCTTGTAAGCCATACAGTTGAATAGGGTTATTTGTAATGCACAGGGTTTGCAGGAAGTTAGATCAATTACAGAGTGATCTTAGAATTGAGGACCACCCAGTTGCGGTTCCATACTTGGGGACCAAGGTGTAAATAAGCAGGAACAAAAGTATGAGTGAGACCCAGGGGCCATGAAACTGCATGCTTTCCAGGGGAGGTCAGGTCGTATTTAATGCCTTCTACCTACCGCCAGGAAGGACACTGAGGACGGTTTGGGCGATGTTGCAGAGCTGGGCTGAAGCATGGTAGATCTCACCATTCACTTCGCCTTTCTTTAATGGCTCTTAATAAAGCTCTATAGTTGTCTCCATAGAGGTTTTGCCCATCTTTGGATAGATTTACTCCTAGGTACTTTCTATTTAATTTTAATTAATTAATTAATTAATTAACTTATTTAATTTTATTTTATAAGAGAGCAACCCTATGTAAGGAGCAGAGGAGGGGCAGGGGAGAGGGGGGAATTCCAAAGTGGCTTCCCCTGCCACCTGAGTGTGAAGCCCAACTATACGGGGCTCCATCTCAGGACACTAAGATCATGACCGAGCCAAAATCAAGAATCAGAGGCTTCAAAACAAAACAAAACAAAACAAGAATCAGAGGCTTAAGTGACTGAGCCACCCAGGAGCCCCTGCTATTCTAGCTTTTTTTTTTTTTTTTAAATCTAATTTTCTAACCGATTGCTGCTGCTATGTAAAAGTACAATTAGCTTTATTGATATTGATCTGGTATTCAGCAACACTGATAAATTATCTTAATTTTCTCATAATTTATTTGTAGGCCTTTTTGGGTGTTCTACACTTCAGACTTCTCTCTGTTTAAGGAAAACAAAGCACTCTGTGTGTAAGCTACTGGGTTGAGTTTTTCTGCCAGGAGACATAGTACTAACTGAAACAATAATGAACATCTAGTTCCAATTCCCGCTGGAAGCAGATCCAGCATAAACAGGATTATCTTTGAGCAAGAAAATGTTAGATGGCATGTAAGTAAGGCTTGTGTTAAAAAAAAAAAAAAAAAGATAGGGGGGCGCCTGGGTGGCTCAGTGGGTTAAAGCCTCTGCCTTCGGCTCAGGTCGTGATCCCAGAGTTCTGGGATCGAGCCCTGCATCGGGCTCTCTGCTCAGCAGGGAGCCTGCTTCCTCCTCTCTCTCTGCCTGCCTCTCTGCCTACTTGTGATCTCTGTCAAATAAATAAATAAAAAATCTTTTTAAAAATGATAGGGAGGGACGCCTGGGTGGCTCAGTTGGTTGGACGACTGCCTTCGGCTCAGGTCATGATCCCGGGGTCCCGGGATCGAGTCCTACATCGGGCTTCCAGCTCCATGGGGAGTCTGCTTCTCCCTCTGACCTTCTCCTCGCTCATGCTCTCTCTCACTGTCTCGCTCTCAAATAAATAAATAAAATCTTTAAAAAAAAATGATAGGGAAAGAGAGGCAGGATGATTTTCTTCAGTCAACATGATCAAAGTAGCTTTGCTTTTTTTGAAGTTTATGGGGGAAAAGGGAACAAAGGAGAAAGGAGAGTGGGGATGGTGAGTAGGAAGAACAGTCCAGAAGTGTTTGCCAGTGCCAGAAAATTGGGGCAGGTAGACAAAACTTCCTCCCCATCTGAAGTACTAAATTAAAGAGCATTAAATAAAAATAAGACATTAAAATCCCGAGGGGGATATGGAATCCACTGTGGACTATTGCCACAGACTCGCTCACTGCTTGCTTCTCACTGGGGCAAACGCTGGTCCGTCAGGTCCTCTGAGGTACGGTTCTGCTCAGAGGTAGAGAGCGAACTGGGCCCCTTCCTCACACAGCTATTCTGGAAGCATCACCAAAATCGAAGGAAAGAAAAGAAGTACTTTCGCAGTGTCACAAAGGTCCCCAGGGTGACCTCTTGTTTTCTGTACTTACCTGATGAGATGCGTCCCGAAGTGACATCTGTAGGTTAGTGGTGAAGACCTCTGCCTGGGAGTCCTCTCTGCGGCTTGAGGTCACCTTGACCACAGCTTGCCCGGACTGTGTTTCAAGCTCCGGTCTGGTGGGCTCCAGCGTGCCAGGGAGAGGCTGGCTGGTAGGCGCTGAGGTCACTGCCATGACCCGCCGTGTGACTGTGGGGAGTGTTGAAGGAAATGGGCTGATGGAAAGACACAGGATCTTGGACTGAAAGGTACATAAAAGAAAAGGCTGAATCTGATTTTACCAAGTGAAAATTAAGGCAGAGTTTACAAAATTATTCTGGCATTCCCACGTCCCATGAGGTAATACTGGGTATTTTTCTCAAAAAGGTCCAGTGCTCAATCAGTTTTGAAAAAGTGGCATACAATATTACCCTCTTTAAGATTCACAATTTAGGGGTGCCTGAGTGGCTCCCTGCGTTAAGCCTCTGCCTTCAGGTCAGGTCATGATCCCAGGGTCCTGGGATCGAGCCCTGCATTGGGCTCCCTGCTCAGCAGGGAGCCTGCTTCTCCCTCTCCCACTCCCCCTGCTTGTGTTCCCTCTCTATGTCTCTCTCTCTCTCTGTGTCAAATAAATAAATAAATAAATAAATCTTTAAAAAAAAAAAAAAAGATTCACAATTTACATTAGTGTATTTACTGTCAACCATTCAGTAAGTTCTAATTAAACATCTACTGCATGCCAAAGAATGTTTTGGGGAACTAGGGATATAGCAATGACCAAAATAAACTAAGTTCTTGCCCTCATGGAGCCTCCATTTTCATGGTGGAGGCAAATTATATTATGTATTAAATAAGTGCCATGCAGAAAAATAGTAAGAGTAAACAGATGAAAGGAAACAGTGTGCTTCAGATAGGGTACTCAGAGGTATGAGACAGCATTTTTGCTGAGAGTTGAAATAAAGGGAGAAAGCTCAGCCAATATACTGGAGACAGGCATGTGAGAAGTGCAAAGGCCCTGAGGTCACAGCCTGATGGGTTTGTCTAAAGAAGAGCAGGAGCTAGATGAGCAGAACTAGGATGTAGGGGAGATCAGAAAGATCCTGGGTTTGGGGGTGGGAATGAGGGATGGGACCGGGGAGAGCATTCATATGTCAGGCAATGGAGAAGAGTAGGACTTTACCTTGAATGAGATGGGAAGACAATTGGGGACTTTGAGGAACAGCAGCGTGAGCTGACTTGTGTTGTAAAAGATCGCTCCTCTGATTGCTGTTGTGAGAACTGACAGAAAAGGGTCATGGACAGAAGCAGGGAGAGATGAGCAGGAGGCAGATGCCAAGTTCGGCTGGGAGATGATGGTGGTTTAGACTATGGTGTGATAGTTGTGAAACTGGTGGGAAGTGGTTAGGTCTGGCCAGGTGAAAGACAGAGAAGTCCTACAGTCAAAAAATCTTTGTTTTCTTTCCTTCTGGAAATGTTTTAAGCAATATTGGTTACTATTCTGTAGAACATCTCTTAGAAAATTCTCACTTAAGGGATTTTTGACTTCATCCTTGTTCTCTTTCATACAACTAGAAACAGTTCTTTTTTTCAGTGGGTCAAGTAAATGTAAATCTATCTTTAGACAACCACTGAAAGGTTTCTATGTAGGACGCAAAGGCAAAAAGGCTGAGAAATTTCTTGAATGTGAAATTTTATAGATTATACAGTTCCTACTTTTATTTTCCTTCCATGCAGATATTTTTTTCCTTTTTAATTATTGTTTTGTTATTTCTTTATTTTTAAAAATAATTTATTTATTGGGGCACCTGAGTGGCTGAGTGGGGTAAGCCTCTGCCTTCAGCTCAGGTCATGATCCCAGGGTCCTGGGATCGAGCCCCACATTAGGCTCTCTGCTCAGCGGGGAGCCTGCTTCCCCTCTCTTAATGGCCAAAGGCCCATTAAGAAAATAAGTATCTGTGAGAGCAAAGACTCCAATAATGAGATCAGACAAAACAGAACATAACAAATATTGATGGCGTACATGAAAGGATGACACACTTGAGCATTAACTGATCCTTCCAGAGAGGAACTGATCTCACTACACATTACCTGCGGTCCTTTTGCTTCTCATTATTGGGACTTCTCCTCTTGTCTTCTCGGGTCTCCCGTGTAAATGAGAATTCATTCCAAGTCTTTCATCTTGGTCTGGAAAGGCATCTATTTGGAGGCCAGTGGAAAAGATAATTTCTAGTATGTAGCTCTAGCTCTAAGTCTGTAAAATAGCTGTCACCAGCACGTACATGGTAATCAAGACAACACCATGAAAGATTACTATCTTTTTTTTTTTTTTTTTAAGAACAATGGAATTGTCAAGGAGCTCTTCTGCTCTTAACGTCACAACACCTTCTACTCCCCAATATCACAAAATGAGGCCCACTGACTCGGTCAACACTAAGAGGACAGAATTAATTTCATTTTAAGAAATTACGTTCTAAGTGTAATATTCTCCTCGTAGTGTGTAATTCCTATCGGTAGGGAGAAAAGAGCTCAGTAGGTGAACAATAACGTTCTTGAATGTGCTTCCTTGTGTTGACTTGCTGTTTCTCACACATGCTGCCCAACATGGCTTGACAAAATCACACCACCTCACTGACTAGTTCTCACTTCTATTCAGATCATACTGTGTCCCCTGGGTCTCTTCGTGCTTCTGCTCCTGAGAGGACTCCTTCCCATGTCCTTCTCTATTGTACCTTCATGAAACACTTCATGAGGGACTTCCTGATCTTTACCCTCAAGGCAGGTCATAACCTTACTTTTTGCTAAGAAAATGGAAAAGAAAATGGAAGGAATTAAGGTCCCTTCCAGAGTCCTGCCACCAAATCTGCCCCCAACCAGCAAGTATCCACACCCACAGATGCCACCTTCTGTCCTGCTCCAACAAGCTCCCTGCGCTTCTACCCAAACCGAACCCCTCTAGCTGCACACTAGCTCAGATCAAGGACACTGTCCTGGCTACTATTTTCTTCTGTCTTAAGACAAACCACCAATTCACATTGCCTCATGAACTGCTGCCCTAGTTCCTTCCTGCTCTTGAGCAAAATTAACCTTAAAAATTGTCTAAACTTGCTACATCCAATTCCTCTCCTATTCTTCTTCCTCATTTTTAAGAAACAAAAACAACTTTTTTTCTATTTATGTAAAACATTTATAGAGTTCCAATGTCAAAATTATGAAACCAGTTACATTCAGAAAGATCTAAATTCTATTTCTGTCCTTTCTGCCCTATTCCCTCCCTCCCCAACAAGTAATCATTTTCATTAGTTTTTGTTTTTCTATTATGCTTACGCATGCGTGTGTTAGGCATATATTTACCTATGTTCATATCACCCTCTTAGATTCAAGTAGCATCCCATACATTGTTCTGCAGATTGCTTTTCTCCACCAAAAAAAACACAGAAATGACCGCACTGCAGTACACAGAGACATTCCTTATTTCTTTTTACAACCAGTGTCCTGTGGACTGTTTCTACCTTTTTGCTGTTGTAAAGAGACCCACAATGAATAGTCTCATTCATGTGTCTTTTTATATTTTTGTCAGTGTAACTTTGGGATAGATTCCCAGCAGCAGGAATGCTCGGTCAAAGGGTAGACGTACATGCAATTTTGCTAGAGACTGCCAAACATCCCTCTCCTTAGAAACTGTATCTTGGGGCGCCTGGGTGGTTCAGTGGGTTAAAGCCTCTGCCTTCGGCTCAGGTCATGATCTTAGGGTCCTGGGATCGAGACTGCTTCCTCTTCTCTCTGCCTACTTGTGATCTCTATCAAAAAAAAAAAAAAAAAGAAAAAAAGAAAAAAAAAAAGAAAACTGTATCTTATTGCATTCCCATTAGCAATTTAGGGCAGTATCTGTTTCCCTACAGTCTTGCCAATGGAATATGTTGTTAAGTTTGTGGATTCATGCCCATGTGTTAGGAGGGAAATGGTATCTCAGTTTTAATTTACATTTCTCTATTTTTGGGCAACAATACTTCATAATATGAAACATTAAGCTTCTCTCTTGAATGTTAAGGAACAAATTTACAAACACTTCTCCCACCAACATGTTATTTTGGAAGAGGCCTGCCTCCCTGCCTGCCTTCCTCCCTTGAGACAGAGAGAGCATGTGCAGGAGCAGAGAGGGGAGGGGCACAGGAGAGCATCCTAGGCTGGCTCCATCTCACGACCCTGAGCCGAAATCAAGAGTTGAATGCTTAACCGACTGCGCCATCCAAGTGCCCTGAAGAGGCACTTCTTAAGTTCACAATAAAATAGCGATTTCTTTCTTTTCTTTTTCTTCCTGGGGCGCCTGGATGGTTCAGTGGGTTAAAGCCTCTGCCTTCGGCTGGGGTCATGATCAAGGTCCTGGGATCGAGCCCCGCATCGGGCTCTCTGCTTGGCGGGGAGCCTGCTTCTCTCTCTACTCTCTCTCTGCCTGCCTCTCCGCCTACTTGTGATCTCTGTCAAATAAATAAATTTTTAAAAAATCTTAAAAAAAAAAAGGCAGTCTTTCTTTTTCTTTCTTTCCTCCTTCCTTCTTCTTTCTTTTCTTCTTTTTTTATTTATTTAAGTAATCTCTACACCCAACATGGGGCTTGAACTCACAAGCTGGAGACCAAGAGTCACATGCTTTTCTGACTGAGCCAGCCGGTGCCCCAACAATGGCTAGTTCTGAATACTAAGCAATTACATCGTGCCAATACTTTAGTTTTAAAGATAATTAGCAATACTGGATCTCCAAGATATCCAATGACCTTTGACAGGAATGTGATGCTATTTAGAAGCAGTAATGAACTTTACACAAAAAAGAGAAATTTCATAATATTATCAGTAATACTGCTAGGCGCTGTTCTAATACTGTACTTGTATTATCTTACTAATCCTCATAATAGTCCTCTGAAGGACTGCCTAGGGGCCACAACAGGAAAGTTCCAGAATGAAGACATGAACTCAGACATCTGACTTCAGAGCCTGAGCTCTCAACCACAGAAACATTATATCTCATCATGGGATTGCAAGTTCAGAATTTGCTGAGTTGGCTTAGATAATGGAATAGAATTCTCTTTCAAAACATTTTTTGTTGTTTTTTTCCCCAAGATTTTACTTTTATATTTTAAAATTTTACTTATTTATTTTTAAGGATTTTATGTGTAATTAATATCTCCACCCAACATGGGGCTCAAACTCACAATCCCGAGATGTTGTGAGTTTGTATGCTTCACTGACTCAGCGAGATGCCTCTAGAATTCTTTTTGCCCAAGATTATCTGCTGTACGAACACTCCATATTCCAGAGCAGTAATCTCTTGCAAGTACATGAGTGATAATATCAGAAAAATGCATTTTCACTCCAAAACCAAGAGTAGGTGCAAATGTCTAAAAACTCAACTCTTGAAGAGTGAAAAATGAATGGAAAATCATCATCATTTAGGCTGTATTAAGGGTTGTTTTTCCTATCCTGGAGAGGATTTGGGCCCAATAACCTCCTGTAAGGATGAAAAACAGTTCACAATTGTAAGGTGGCACACTCACATTTGTGACAAACACAGGACCACTTGATTTGCGCAGAGACTGGCCTCACAACCTTGGCCTCACCAACAACAGTGCTATCAAAGCAAAATCCAGCAAGCGTATCACAGAGAGCTTGAAAGGGTGGAAAACGAGAAGCTGGAAGCCAAAAATTTATTACCCTGAAATACAGGGTCCTTTCAGTATCATCTGAGGAAGGGGATCTTTTTTTTTCCTTATAATAGACAAATATTGTAATGTGTTCTGTTTTATCAAGAACCCATAGATGTTTCTTTTTTTTTTTTTTTAAGATTTTATTTATTTATTTGACAGACAGAGATCACAAGTAGGCAGAGAGACAGGCAGAGAGAGAGGAGGAAGCAGGCTCCCCGCTGCGCAGAGAGCCCAATGCGGGGCTCAATCCCAGGACCCTGAGACCATGACCTGAGCCGAAGGCAGAGGCTTAACCCACTGAACCACCCAGGCGCCCTAATATTTAACTTTTTTTAAAAAATTTTATTTGTCAGAGAGAGAGTGTGTTGGAGGCTACGTCATGGTTGGAGTTGTGGATCAAACCAGGCCCTGACTTGTGTCTCCTTCAAAGTCCGGACACCTTGATAAGAAGTCAAGGACAGGAAAGTTGAGTAACACTGAGAAAGGGTCTGTGCTATGTGTTGTGCGCTTGCCTACGTGACTTCCCACATACTCTCCCTACAGAGGGAACAATGTGGTCAGGGTCATGAATTCTTAGTTGGTCCTTGTTGTTCCTGTACCTCCCGTAACCCACTCCCACTCCCTGGTTGATTGTCTCGCTAATGGCTTTAGCGGAGACTACCTGGCATCACGAGGTTTGCTTGTAGTTAATATAAACTTGTTATAGAAACTTGTGGTCATCTGACTAGGTACTGATGTATTACTCCTATTGTGATCTGCCTTATAAATGATTGTAAGATGTGGAATAAAATCGGCACTGTTGGACATCATCCTCAGTGTTCCTCCTGCCCCCATCTCTGTCTATTAATTTCTTTTCACCATCCTCTTACCCTCACGTTCCTGGTCGATTTGTCGCGCCAGCCACAACAAGAGTGTGTGTGTGTGAAAGAGCAGCAGGCAGAGGGAGAAGCAGACTCCCCGCGGAGCAGGGAGCCCAACGCAGGACTTGACCCCAGGACTCTGGGATCATGACCGGAGTGAAAAAAGCAAACGCTTAACTGACCAAGCCACCCAGGCTTCCCAGATGCGTCATATTTTAATAAGAATGTATTTGTGACTTTTTTTTTTTAAAGATTTTATTTATTTATTTGACAGAGAGAGATCACAAGCAGGCAGAGAGGCAGGCAGAGAGAGAGGAGGAAGCAGGCTCCCTGCTGAGCAGAGATCCCAATGTGGGGCTCGATCCCAGGACTCTGAGATCATGACCTGAGCCGAAGGCAGCGGCTTAACCCACTGAGCCACCCAGGCGCCCCTATCTGTGACTTTTTAAAGTGGAACAAAATTTTTACTCAGACTGCGACATTGTAAGGCCCTCGAGAATTCACTGAACTAAGAATAATGCTGGACACACCCACCATGAGAAACACAGATTGAAAAACCACACACCCAACTTCAGGCACACAATTCTCATCGCCTACTCCTGCGGAAGGAAACCGACATGACAACAGCCTCGTCACCCTTCACGTTCTCATCTTCCTCCACCAATATTCTATTTTCCTCCTTTGCTTTTGTGGTCTTCCCTCTGAAGCCCAAGTGCCGAATGGCTTGCGGGTGCATGTGAGGAAAACAGAGTTTACTGCGACCCCTTCTCCCACATCACCCAAGTCAAGAAACGAAAGCAACATCAGGCACAGGTCTAACTACCAGAGTGGGATGTATATGAAAGTCATTCCAGATGAAGAGTTTCTCACTCCAGTCAGTATCATGAAGATCATGACAGCGCATCCTTTGCGCTATCATTCACAGACTCTGCGACAAGAAACCTCCTTAAGCACATTCTCTCCCAACCCCCATTTTTTTTTTCCTTTCATTTAACCAAACCCTTAAGTAAATCTTGAGGTATAATGTCCATGATCTGCCCCGGAGACAGGACTAGGACACACATCTACTCTTAAGCATTCTCCTCTTGGGTGGTTCCTTCTTAAAAAACCACTTCTTGTCAAGCTGGACTTACCAGGCTTTTTCTTTCCTCTGTTGCCTCCTCCTTTGGATGTCACTTGGCATAGATCTCCCTTTCATGGAACAGACTCCTTAACCAATACGTCTGCATGCTGTCCTTATGTAGAATCAGTTTCTAGAAATTATGAATTTGGTGGGATGGGGCTTCATCACTTACCAGCCTGGCAAATGAAAGAATGTTCCAGGGGGCACAAGTCCACTTTTGATGAGATCCAGTTGGAGTTTCTGGACATGTAAGTGCAGCTGGGCAGCTCCAGGGGCCAGGGACCCACGATACCTGCCATAGGAAGACCAGACCCAGATGAGCCTCAGACACCAAAATCAACCTTTTTTCAAAGTAAATATGAAAACCAAATTTTGCTAGCTTCTAAGAGATGGAACTTAGGATATCCCCCAAATGTGATGTGTTATTGAGGGTCCAGAAGTGAATGGTCAAGAAAGAATTCTTGAGACATCTTCAGTGCAAGAAGGTGGTTTTATTAAATATTGGGACAGGACCTGAGGGCAGAAAGAGCTACCCTGGGATTGTGAAGAGTGACTGACTACGTTCTTTCCAATTGGGAAGGGTTAGGGAAGTCTCTAAGTAATTTGAAAGCAAGGTTTCCTGGACCTTGAGGGGGTCATTTTCTACTGTGTAGTAAATCTTAGTTACAAGACCATTTAAATGGCTATCACTGGGCCATACGTTTGAAGGATGATTGCTAACCTATATTTCTCGGTCAGGGGATGAGATAAAGGACGTTTCCAAAGGGATTTTTATTTTTTTAAATTTTTTATTTTTATTAGCATATAATGTATTATTAGCCCCAGCGGTGCAGGTCTGTGAATCGCCAGGTTTACACACTTTACAGCACTTACCACGGCATATGCCTTCCCCAGTGTCCATAACCCAACCACCCTCTCCCTCCAAAGGGATTTTTAGATGTTAAGAAGACTTGCAGGATTCTGGAGGTCAGGTTAATGTCAAGCTAAGGTTGCTTGCCTCCAGAAAAGTGTTAACACTGAAACAGTTAAGCTTCTCTCTGCCCACACATTATAATTTATTTTTTCATATTAGGTGCTCTTTATCACAAGGCTTTGTATTAATTTACCTAGACTTCAGTGAAGATGATGGTCCTATAAAACGGCCTTAGATATTTCTCCAAGACCACAATATTACAGTGCATGACTTTGAAAATATCTCTGTAAGAAAGGTAACAGGCAAATAATTTCTCTTCTGGCTTCTGAATTAGGAAACTTGGAGCCAAGAATGATGAGATATTTGCCAGGAACAAAGTGGCCATAAAAAGTTTCCCATTTTAGGGGCACCTGGGTGGCTCAGTAGGTTAAGGGACTGCCTTCGGCTCAGGTCATGATCCTGGAGTCCTGGGATCGAGTCCCGCATCGGGCTCCCTGCTTGGCAGGGAGTCTGCTTTTCCCTCTGACCCTCCCCCTTTTCATGCTCTCTCTCTCTCTCAAATAAATGAATAAAATATATTTTTAAAAAAGTTTCCCATTTTAGAATCCTACACAGCACTTTCAGTGAAATATCAGGTATGCTAGCTTTTGATAAACTCTGAGAAAATCTCACAGTCTTTCTACACAGACAAATCAAAGGTTAAAGCCCCAAAATATAAATATATCAGAGGAACTGTGGTAATGAAGTAAAGCGACTGATTTTTTCTATATACAAAAGCGGAAAGATTTAACTTTTTTTCTTTCTCCTGTTCCAGAATAAAAGTAAGGACTTTTCTTTTATAAACACTCATCTCAGAGCCTTACCTGAGTTGTTTTTCTCTTGATGTTTTCCCAGGTGCTTTAGATTTTGCCCAATCCACCACTTACTCCCTTCCTCTAGAGAGTCCCAGAGAAGATTCTGGACTTCCAGGTTCCAAGTGTAAGCAAGGTGTCCCCCCTGGACACGGCAGTGATTTTCTGCTTCCTCGTAGCTGCAGTGAAACCTGTTAAGTTGGTAACAATGATTTGTACCATGTCGCTCTGGGATATTTAGCTCATTTCCTAGAATGACACCTGTTCTGATACATAACCAAAGCCAGATTCCTCCCCTGAAGAACATTTTCTCTGTGAATTGTGAGCAAGAACAGTGTAGGGGCTCAGCAGCTGACTGGTCCTTTAAATATATTCTTGGTGGGTTTGTCTTATTTATTAGTATCATTCTTTTAGGAAGAGGGAATAATTTGAGAAGGAGATACAAGGCTTTTTGTTTTTCTGTTTTTGTTTTTAAGAACCCAGGTGAAGTCCCTACGAGCTGAAAACAAACAGCAAAGATCAATAAAGCAATGGGCATTTATAAAGCACCCGCACCTGTGTCTACACAACCAGCTGTGCCTTTAGCTTTACAATAGCTATTTGCTAAGTCCAGGCTGTAAAGGAATAGAAGATGTGGAATAGCTAAGTCAATGTTGCTAAAAATTAAGAAATGTAGTGTGTGTGTGTTTTAAAGGAAACCATTCTTACAGAACCCCAGGACAAATTTAAATTATTGTATTCTGCTTTTTAAATACGTTCAAACATAAAACTAGGCATAACCTATATGCTACAGCTCTTACACAATCATAAAAACCAAAAAATAAATATCTGATGGAAGAATACAAATTAAATACAAACAGCTGAAAACCAATGAAATGAAAACGGGCTGCACTAAATAGCTATCAGACAGAGAAACAAGCTATGACCACATAGGTTGTTCTGATTTGGCAGGCACGCTATCTCATGCTGTAGCAAAAATCCATTCTCACCACTTTTCTTTATTTAACTTGCTGAAAAACCTTTGTTCATACAGCATGTCATTTGTCCTTCACCTGCAAGCCATCCATCGTTTATTTCAGCCAGTTTTCTTTCTTGGTACCAAAATATGAGAATGAATACAATAAAATGTGGGCACTGAAATAGCTTGGTAGGTTTCAGGGTTCAGGTGGTTGTCCAAATGGCCCAAATGATACTTAATATTATTTTTAAAAATCATTACAGAAAGACACCAGTAACCAATATTCTCTTAAGTGTCTATGCCAAGAATACACTCCTCCCTCAGTTTGAAAAACAATGCGGTCATAGAACTAAAGATAAATATGGTTATGTTCCTTACTTTCAAAACATTTACAGTCTAGCTGGGGGGTGGGGTGGGGGAAGACCTAACAATTGTAGTTAATAACGAGAGTGCCACTGGACAGCATATATCTATGAAGACTCAGATGAGGAAGAAATTTTTCCCAGCACTTGACCATCTTGAGATAGAGGGACTGGTCATCTCAGCAGGAGTCAACATAAGTAAATGCATGGCAAGTGTCAAGTATTTAAAAGGGGAAAGAAGTAATTTTGTGTGGGGCGGGTGAGATGGGCACTTGGGAGACAGTACTGGGAACTGGAAACTAAAAAACTGAAATGTCTTCAAATGCCAGGAAAAAGAGTATCCAATTAATATGGAAGTTTTCTAAATAGAGTCCACCAGGTTTTCGCCGCAGTGGAATCGTAGGGGAGCAAGACTTTGCTGCAAAGCCTAGGTTTCCCAAAACCTTCATTAACACACATACTTACGTACATACATACGTTTTAGACATTTTTAAGTGAAACCTGGTGCTGATGGAATCTTCTCTGAAGTCAACTCGGGTATCTTACACAGTGCGGTCTTTCATTCCCTATTTACGGTGTCTGATACATACTCCCAACACGTGCTTTACCGAGAGCTTTCAATTTAAACGATCATGATATTGGTGAGCGGGTTGCTTGGAACTGAAGATCTACACATGCGAGGTCTCTCGCCCACGCCGCTGGACCAGAAAAAGGGGACGTGCACCCCCCAACGCCAGCAACCCACAGCACCGCACAGCTCAGAGACCAAGTCCAGCGCCTGGGGCGGAAGGGGCGTGGCCGCCGTCTTCGCGCGCGTCGGCGTCCAGCCACGCCCCCGGGGCGGAGCGAGGCTTTTTCCGCCGCCGGGAGGCCGGCCCCACCCTCTTGCCCGGCGATTGGTGAAGTGGCTGCTGCGCGGCGGTGATTGGAGGGCTCACAGCCATCTCCTCCAATGGAAATGAGCCAGAGGCGGGTCCAGAGGCGGAAGGAGCATGGCGTGGAGGCAGCTCAAAGTGAGTTGAGAAAGTGGGCTGTGCAGTAGATAGTAGTGCGGGCGAGGTGTGGGGCAAGAGGAGAATAGAGGGCTAACGTGAGCGAGGTGTGGACGGGTTTCGGCTCCGAGATCGTGGGCCCCCGGCTACGTCTGTGCGTGTGTGGAGGCACCTGCAAATGCCAGTGCGTGTGCATTAACACGCGTAACAGCACGTTCCAGTCTGGGTAGATGCAGGTTTTTGCCAACGCACGTGGGCCAGACTTTTACTGACCCTGACACACGGGCGTATAGTGAACACATGACCACCTAACACCGTGCGCAGGATCCAACGTGCAACGGCCCCAACCCTTCTATATGAAATTTTGGGGCGGGGGCTTGTGAACCGCGTCCAGATACTTGCTGATTGACATTAAGGGGCGTTCCTACAATCTGCTGGAGATTAGAAGCAAGACAACAAATACTTGCTCTATATTAACAGCTGGGAGTGATCCTCAAGGGCAGATCTGACCCCATCACTAACTTATGTAGGGAGCAAAACTCAAATCTTTATTCTGGTCAGGGTCCCTGCTTATCTCCCCAGCTTCTTTTTAAGTCGTCCTTTTCCTTATTCCTTGGTTTCCAACAAGCCCTTCTCCTTCCCCTCTTCCTTGGATGCATCTCATTACCTTCTGCCACTGAGAGCACCTTTACACTTTTTTCTTGAGCCCCCAGGAAACTCTTAGTTAACTCCTATTTATCCTTTGGATGTCAGCTTTTAGTTGCTTCCTCAAGCAAGCCTTCCTCCACCTCGAGGTTCTGTTATTACCTTATACGTTTTTTTCTTCATAGCAATCCTCACAGTTACATGTTTGCGTGATCATTGACCAATGACTGTCTCCTCCTGAGATTGTCCTCCTTGAGGAGCACTCCTCCGAGTGCTCTATAACTGTTGGGCAGATGATTGACTGAATGAATGAATGACTCATCACCTGGCAGTGATAACCAGAGAAAAAGCATTATGAAGCACGTTTTGAATAAGATTGTGATTCTTGACTCATTAAGACCTGATGCTCCTTTTAAAAAAATATTTTGCAACTGCTTTTATTATCCTGAAGTAGAATTTATATATAATGTGGTCTTTGTATTATTTTAAAAGTTCAACTAATTTCCTAACTGGAATATAAAAGAGAAATTGAAGGAATTTATAATAAAACATGCATTTCAGCATGTGCTATGGCATGACTCAGTGAGATATAGTCAGGTGTTTAAGTCTCTAGAAATTCTAGTGCCTCAGGGACGCCTGGGTGGCTCAGTCGATTAAGCATCTGCTTTCAGATTAGGTCATGATCCCAGCGACCTAGGATCAAACCCCACATTGGGGCTGATCAGTGGTGAGCCTGCTGCTTCTCCCTCTGTCTGCTTCTTCCTCTGCCTCACACTCCCCCTGCTTGTGCTCAGGCGCTCTCTGAGAAATAAATAAAATCTTTTAAAAAATTCTCAGGTATATGGGTGCCTGGGTGGCTCAGTGGGTTAAAGCCTCTGCCTTCAGCTCAGGTCATGGTCCCACGGTCCTAGGATCGAGCCCCACATCAGGCTCTCTGCTCAGCGGGGAGCCTGCTTCTCCCTCTCTCTCTGCTTGCCTCTCTGCCTACTCGTGATCTCTGTCTGTCAAAAAAAAAAAAAAAAACAACTTAAAAAAAATTCTCAGGTATGTTTTATTGTCAAACACCCAAGCAAAGCACTATACCATTCCTGAGATCTCTGAAATGGGGAACAATCCTTGGTAATGTTCTGTGCAAAACAGTGTAGTTGTCCCTCAGTAATTGAGGGAATTGCATTCCTGGAAAAGTCTGTGCAGGAGATAGTTGTGTTTATGTGGTGGACTGTAGGCTCAGATAATATGAATAGATATTTTGTACATACTGAGTGTCAGTAAGACGTTCAAAAGTCATACAGGACAGGGACAATTCATCTGTCTGAAGCCTACAACAATGCAGGATGTCTGCCTTTACAGAGTCCTCCAAAATGCCTACCACAGGTCCCCTAGGAGGCGATACTGCCTCTCTTGAAACCTCTGGCTTGGAGTCCTTCAGGGCACGATGAGTGTTAGAAGTGTGGATACAGGGGCGCCTGGGTGGCTCAGTGGGTTAAAGCCTCTGCCTTCGGCTCAGGTCATGATCCCAGGGTCCTGGGATTGAGCCCCACATCAGGGTCTCTGTTCAGCAGGGAGCCTGCTTCCCTTCCTCTCTTTCTGCCTGCCTCTCTGCCTACCTGTGATTTCTGTCTGTCAAATAAATAAATAAAATCTTAAAAAAAAAAAAAAAAAGAAGAAGAAGTGTGGATAAAGCCACTAAAAGTTGAGGCCAATGTGGGAGCAGGACTAGAAATGAAGGAGACCACTGTTAGCAGAAGGCTGGGGATGTTTCTTCATGTGACATGTCTTTATGTCCTGTGTGTATGGTGTAAAGGGCACAGAGAATTTACTGCAGTCTGCCTTGTGGTACTCTAAATGGGCCTTTTTTCTCCCCCAGAAGCGGGCCCAGGATGCTGTGGTCATCCTGGGGGGTGGGGGACTTCTCTTCACTTCCTACCTGACAGCCATGGGGGATGAACATTTCTACGCTGAACACTTGATGCCGGCGATGCAGAGGCTGCTGGACCCCGAGTCAGCCCACAGGCTGGCCATTCGCATCACCTCCCTGGGGCTCCTTCCTCGTGCCACGTTTCAAGACTCTGACATGCTGGTAGGTGTTCTCGGAACGCCTTCTGATTAACAAGCTCTATAGGTAATTCTCACCTAGATGGGCTGTGGTCTGCCCTTGGAGAAACACCAGGATAGCCCGTGTATGTCTGGCTTTGTTTCCTTCTTCCTAGGAAGTGAGAGTCCTGGGCCATAAGTTTCGAAATCCAGTTGGAATCGCAGCAGGATTTGATAAGCATGGGGAAGCTGTGGACGGACTTTACAAGATGGGCTTTGGCTTTGTTGAGATAGGCAGCGTGACTCCGAAACCTCA